TGGCGATATTTTTGATTATTACTACGACAAGCAAAGGTTAATTCAACTAGCTTTCCCTGATTTGGATGAGTACAACTTTGTAACTATGGTACTATTGGGGCTGCCTGATGATATTCAGAATCAACTTTCCAATCGTCAACTTCGAACCAAACAGGAATTAAGAGAAGCTCTGGAGATGATAAAACCTGCAAAAAGTGGTAAGCCAAATCATTCTAATAGAATCTAAAACTGAAATAATTGTAAATGGTGTGCCATTACAATGTGTACTTGATTCTGGTTCAGACAGAAGCTTCATTAGGTCTGAGATTGCTCATGAAAATAATTGGAATCTTTTTGATGAATTTGCAACTATAAGACAAATAAATGGTGACTCTTTCAATTCAAATAAAGTTTGTAAAACGGACATTGAATTCAAAGGTAGATTTGCTAATGTAACCTTTTCACTTCTGGATACCCTACCGTTTCCAATAATCTTAGGCTATTCAGATCTCAAACGTCTAGGGATAGAGCTTTGCCAAGTTAACAAAGATGCTTTCTTTTCTTGTCCATCTATCAAAGACACAAATGATGTTAAATTAATGTTCCCAAAACTTTGCTCTCCTTTATTACCAGAATCCAACAATTTTGTTGAATTCAAGTTGAAAGAGAATCATGAAATTGTTAGGCGAAAACCTTATCCCATGTCAGCAAATAAGTTAGCATTTGCCCGTGATAAAATAAAAGAATTACTAAGTAAGAAAATTATTACAAATTCTAACTCTAGCTATGCATCACCTGTTACTTTTGCTCCAAAAGAAAATGGTGATCTCCGTTTCTGCATAGATTACCGAGATATAAATAAACAGACAGATTTAGATCCGTTTCCTTTCCCTCTAATTGACGATATCATTTCTCTTTTTGGTGGCTGCTCTTTCTTTTCCAAAATTGACTTAAAAGATGGGTTTTGGCAATTGCCTTTAACTAAAGAGACCAGAAAATTCACCGCATTTGTTACACCTTTTGGGCATTACGAATGGACTCGTCTTCCATTCGGATGGAAAAATAGTCCTTCATTGTTTCAAAGACACATGAATACAATTCTTTCAGATTTAATTGAGACTGGTAAAGTATGTGTGTACATCGATGATATCTGTTTGGGTAGTCGATCCGCAGAGGAATGTCAAAAACTAACATATCAAGTTTTAACTAGATTAGATAAAGCCAATATGGTTATCAATGTTGAAAAATCTGAATTTGTTAAGCCATCAGTAAAATTTCTAGGTCGAATAATCGACGGAAATACCAAAACTACCAAGCAAGAATCCATCGAAAAAGTACGCAATATGCTTCCTCCTCATGACCTTCATTCACTTAGACAGTTTACTGGATTGACAGGTCATTTTAGGGCATTCATCGAAAATTATGCTTCAATTGTAAGACCTTTAGATAGATTGAAAGGTAAAGATGTACCATTTGTATGGACTGAAAATTGCCAACAAGCATTTGACCGTTTGAAAGAACTCATAACTTCAAACCCTGTTTTAAATTTACCAGATCTGAATTTACCATTTGAATTATGCACAGATGCATGTGGTCTGGGTTCAGGCTCTGTTCTCTACCAAAGAGACATTAAGAGACCAAGAAACCAACAACTTCGTGTTATTGGTTATCAATCTTATACTTTCAACAAACAAGAATTAAATTATTCCATTACTGAAAAGGAAGCATTAGCAGTCATCAAGGCCATAAAGTACTTTAAATCTTATCTTGAAGGGCGCTCTTTCATTGTTCACACCGATCATTCTGCATTAGCTTATTTAATGGAGCTTAAAGAACCTAAAGGTAGATTAGCTCGCTGGCAGCTTTTTCTTATGTCTTATGATATAAAGATTAATCACAGACCTGGAAGAATGCACTCAGATGCTGATGCATTATCTAGACTTTGTTTAGAACCAACAGCTTACGCTTTACTCTCATCAAGCTTATCTTCATTCAAAACTAGTACTAAAAGCGAGAACTCAGATTCAGCACTGAAAATTAGTACTAAAAATGAGCACTCAGAAGGAGTACTCAAAACTAGTACTAAAAATGAAAACTCAGATTCAGCACTGAAAATTAGTACTAAAAATGAGCACTCAGAAGGAGTACTCAAAACTAGTACTAAAAATGAAAACTCAGATTCAGCACTAAAAATTAGTACTAAAAATAAGTACTCAGAAAAAGAACTCAAAACTAGTACTAAAAATAATCGCATGAGTAGTAATAAGCCTAAGCCTATTGAAAAGGCTCAAATGAACCAAATTCTTAAAGCATATCATGATGACCGTGACTCAGGAGGTCATAGTGGTTATTGGAGAACTTATTTTAAAATTAAAATGCGTTTTCAATGGCCAGGAATGAAACGTGATATTTTTGATTACATCAAGTCGTGTCATCTTTGCCAAATTAACAAATCCAAACCAAAATTTGACCCACCTTTTCTTCCAAATCATTCAAAGATACCATTCCACACAGTACACATAGATTTCGGTGAACTAGAAAAGAAATCCGATGTTAATAAGAAAACTAAATCTTTCTTGCTATTGGTTGATGAAGCTACCCGCATTATGCATGGTAAAGCCATGAAAGAGTCAACATCTGCAGTAATTAACTTTCTAAACTCTTTTAACAGAATTGACGAAATAAAAGTCATAATTTCAGATAATGGTACTGCTTTTACCTCAAGAGAAATGAAGGCTTGGGCTGCACTCAGAGGAATCACTCTGCGAAATACTTCACCATATCATCCAGTTGCTAATGGGCTAGTTGAACGGAAAATGAGAGATGTGAAATCCTTCATTGGCATATACAAAGGCTCAGGTGGTGACTGGAAAGACTTATTAGCTTCAGCCATACGCTACTCAAATCGTAGTTATCACTCTGTTATCGGGTGTACCCCGTGGTTCAAACTTTATGGACAAACTCCTTTGTTACCCGCCGATGAAAACTTTGGCCTCACATTACAAGATTTAACTGAAGAAAGTCCAAAAGACGATAATCAAGTAGCCAAGACCCGACAATCAAACGACAAAAGAAAATCTGGGAATTTTACCATCAATAAAGGCGACAAAATATTAGTTAAATTGGGCTATCATGGTAAAAAGAGAGTGCAAAAAGGACCTTTTGAAGTAGCTTCAGTCAAGTATTTTGATGGTAAACCAAAGACCATCATTTATCTGGACGAAAATGGAGATGAACATGTATCTCACATATCCAATATTTCACTTTATCACGAACGGAGTCGAGATTTTCCTAAGTAGGGGGAGATGAACTGTTCCCTTGTTCGCAAATTCACCCATTCCAATATTTAATTCAAACTCAGCTTATTTCCTATCCTCAGTTAACGTAAAATTCAAAATTATTTCCAGTACTCAAATTTAGTACTAAATTTTAGTACTTGAAGTTAGTACTAAGAATTAGTACTAACTTTTAGCCCTTAAAGTAAGCACTTAGAATTAGTGCTTAAATCTATTTGAAACAATCCTTTTTAATCTTTTGACCCTTCTGCTGACACCTGGTCAGTCTATCCTAACTATTTCCTCTATTTCCTCTCCAACCCAATAAAAGGCAAAAATAATCCTCAAACAAGAGGAGAATGTGTTTTGACTTTAACCTGACACTTAGCTTTCAATAATTTTCTGTAGACCCTTTTTTGTTTTAAATAAAGTTTTTTCCCTTTTCAAATTGAGAAGTCTACACTTGTTAAGTTATAACTCATTAGAGTCGAATGATTTTAAGTCAATTTTAAATTGATATTCTGACGAACGAAGTCTATAAGAAGATGAAAGAACGATTTTAAGTTCTAATTCAAGTTTGATCCAATCGTTAATTTTAAAATTGATTTTTGACTTCAATTTTTTGTTCATTTCAATGTTCAACTTGATGCACTAACTTTTATTGAAACATTTTGTTGCCCATTTTTTCCCTGCTATTCAAAGCATATAATCATTATTTCTGTTTACATATTTTTTTACATCAATTTTTTGTTTGATTTTTTATGAACTCAGCCCATGTTCAAGTATCAATTTGCTTGTTCACTTGAACTCTTCCATTCAACTTGTTTAGCGTCTTGAAACTTTCTAAGCAAATGTTTTGTGCTTTTTGCCTCCAGTCAGATGAAAATTATGGCAAAAATATTAGCTTTGTTAGTGATTACAATTGAATGGAATCAAAAAATGCACAATGACTCGTAAAGAGGAAAAGTAACAAAAAATATTTTCCTCTATTCAAGAAGTTACTTTTTTCCATGATAATTGTTGTTGAAATGTTGAGTCTGTAAAGAGACGAAAAAATTTCAACAAAAAAGCGCAAAAATTTGATGAAAAAAAAACTTTTACATCCTAAAGATTGACTGGGATTGAAACCTGAAAACAAAGTCGAAGAACAATTTGTTTCATTGAATTGTGAGCATTTCATGTCAAGTGTTGAAATAGATTTGTAATTTAGACAAACATTGACACTTGATTAACAGAATTTCGGTAAACAGATAAAAACATTTTGATTGATGAATCTATTGTTGATATTTGTTCATTTCTTGTCTGTCCATTTTTAGCATCAATTTTGATCATTTCTGAAAGTAAAATGGATTCCAATAAATCATGATCAAATGAAGAATCTGAAGGAACAGTAAAAACATTCAAAGAACAATTCATTTCCAGTAAATTATAACAATCTAATATTAGAGGAGAATCTAGTAAATGTGGTGAAAATTATCTCGATTCCCATTGAATAACTTTTCTTGTAACAATGAAATAATCTGAGGTAAATATCGTTATTGTATTAATGGGTAAACTCATTGAGGCCAATAACGAGCAATCAATTGTATCAAATTGTTGTTGACCAAAAGGTAAATATTAAATGTCAACCAGTTAAGGTCGTTAATTAACATCATCAATCATTTTAATCATTACTTTTAATTAATCTCATCGAGACTCAGTTTCACTTTCGGTCAAAGTTGGTCAAGTGTCTAATTGTTGTTTTACCTCAAATGGATCTTGAGCTGTGATTGAAGCCTTCTCCTGTTTGGATGCCTTTTTGGGTCCAGAATTGCCGGTTGATCCACTGTAGTTCATGTTGACCAATTAAATCCAATTGTTGGATGAACAAATGAATGGACACAATTAGAGGGCAAATTTAAATGTTGCTTTTAAGTTGATTTTTTGGCGACACTTTTTTTTGCCGTCAGCTTTTCATTGTTTTCACAGTTAATTAGTGTCTTTCAATTAATTCATGATTAAAGAATCAACTGTCTTTAGGTTGCCTTAATTGGGATTTGGAACAATTTATAATTAATTGGAACAATTTATTCTTGTTTTACTTTTGATTTTTCACATTTGCTTCTTGCAAGGGAAAAGAGACGCGAAAAAAAAGTAAACTTTCAAGTCTAGTCAATCCTTTTGGGTTAACCTTTGTCAATCATTTGCTGGCAATTGCGTACATAGACTGGTAAGGTAAACATCAGCGCAAGAATGTTCAAGTTAAACATGGGAAAAAAGTTCTCAGAATAATTCAGATGAACAAAAAATAGCAAAGGATAATTGGCTGAGCAAAATGATTCAGGAAAAGTAAAGTTATTCAAAGGCACTCAATGCCATCTATTGATTTCACTTTCAACTAAAATGGTAAAGTTTGCTCTAAACATTAGTCTTTCACATTACAATTAAACCAATATTTAATTTCAAACATTTTTCATTGTTGGCTTATTGAATCATTAAACAAATAATAATAAACATTCTTATAAATACAATGATTTCTTGAATAACCATGAAATTAACGATTAAGATCTTGAATAACTGTTATTAAACGGTAATTCAAAAGATGGGTTCATAAGTCAATCTAATAAGTCTTGACTTCAATGTTCAATATTTGGACGATTTTTAAAAAGCTAAACCAGAAAATGGAAAATGCGTCCGAAAGAAACATTGAAAAGTGTATATAAATCACACTTGGCAATTAACAATTAACATTACACAAGATTTAAGGTAAGACTGATGTGATTAGCTAATATTTATTAATAAGTTGAAAATTAAATTTTTTATTATTTTGATCAAAACTATAAGAAGATTAAACTGATTGAAAAGTCTGAATTTAAAATGAAGTTAAGCAATATCACATTGAAATGAATTTTGAATTAAGATGAAAACCAAGGAAAAGATGAATTACTTTTTGATCAAAAATGTTTAATATTTGAATAACAATTTGACTGAACAGTGAACAATTTTTGTTACTTTTTGCGCTCAATTTCACTAAATGAAAGAAATAGTTAACAAAATTTTTTGGGTCATTTGTGTTGATTTTCACTGGAAAGGGCAACAAACTGGACAAATCAAAACCTGAGCTTCAACTGTACAATTGACTCAAACAGCTTCAACACAAAATTGATTCAAGAAAATCCAAATCGAAACAAATTCCAAAGAATTTTCTTCCAAATTTGAAATCGAATCGACTTTTGCTTTCAACAAAATCAACACAAAAAGTACCAAAAATTTGGGCAAAAATAATTTCCAGCTCAAAATGATTTCAATAAGAAAATGAAATTCAATAGTTGGACAAATGATACAAAATGGTAAAAATAAAAGCAATAAATTTGGTCAAAAGTGATGAATGTATTGAATATGAATATTAAATATTTGGAGAAATGATAAAATCGATACAATTTGATAATTGAATGAACAAAATCTGGTTAAATTGGGTGAAAAAAAGGTTGCCAATAAGGAAACAGAATATTTGAAATGGAGAGAAAAAAAAATTAAACTAAATTCCAATTGGGATTGAGCATTACTTTGATTATTAAAACATCTTCATTTTAATCATCATCATCATCATCATCATCTTGTAATCGAAATAAATTTCGCCTGGAGGTTACTAAATGTTCCTATTTTTAGTTAATCAGTTTCCAGTTCAAACTGAGTTTTTGGCTGAATTTTTATCCTTCATCATTGAGTCCAGTCAGCAAATGATAGTGAATCTTTTCATCTTCATCTTCCTTCAAGTTAAATGGTCTAAATTTATTTCACTTCAACCCGATAGATAACCAGCAAAATCGTAAATCGTTATTTTAAATAACCAAAAATCAAATGGTTCACAATGAACAAGAGAAGGTAAAAAATGGCCAGAAACATTATTATCAACTTATAACCAGAACGACCAGGTAATAATATTAACTAATACGTGGTGAGAAGGAAAAGGCTTTCAGGGTAAATAATAAGACAACGTGTCAGAGCAATTTTGATGAACATTTTTACCTTCGTCATCATCATTCATAATTTAACTTTTATTCATGAGATTCATTTAATTATCGTCCGCTTTTCTTGATCACTCTTTTTTGTTTCATTCACGGACTTCAATATTGATTTATATTGTCCATCAATTTAACAACATTATTTCAACATTTTTTATTTTGCTATTCAATTTAATAAGGTAGAAACTTGATCAATTTGTTAATTATTGCCTTTCAATTTAAGTTGCGCCAACAATTAAGGTTTAAAAATTTATTTTAAAAAAAGGTTTAATTGTTGTTCTGGTGGATCAACTGTCAATTTAACTTGCAAATTACAACAGTTCATCTTGTGTGTCTTGTCAATGGATCAGTTTAATTTAATTCAAATTATCATTTTAATTTTTGATAATTGTTGGTTGCTGAGTGTGTACAATTTACCCTCATTTGTCTCTAATTGTTGATGATCAATTTAATTGCCTTTCAATTGTCTGACAAGACAATTTACATTTTTCCAATTGCACTTTTTCCCGATTCAACACAGATTCAACTCCAAGAGCTGTTTGAGTTTAATCGGTAAGAGTAAGGCTTTGCGGACTAAGAAGAGGCAACATTGGCATTTAAATTGAGACTCAATCAGGTTAATCTTTTAAAGTTAAATCTAAGGTTTATAATGATGATTGAACTAATTGTTAGTTTCCACTATTTAATTCCATATAAAATGAAGGAGGAGAGAAAATTCTGATTAATCATGAATTTCAGATAAAAAGCAATTAAACCTAAATGAGATTCAATAGTCAAAATCAACAGTCACAATAGTTCAAATAGTCACCTGTTTGTGTATTCATTATTAATTTTACCATTGGTTAGCGAAAGTGATTTTTAAGTTTCTTAAGTTTAAGTAAAACCTTACTCTTACCTTTTAATCGATGCGTTTTCTTTTGACGATTGAATCGATGATTAAAGCTGATTTTATCCTAATTAACATGCCAATTCACTTGGCTATTTTCAAGCTTGAAATAAAGGCGAAAATTTGACTTCTTTTTGACTGATGCAACATTAGATCTTTACTTGCGTCATTAAATCTAACAATTGTTTGAATGTTTAAGCGTTTGATTGAAATGTTTATGGAATCTCATGAAATTACAGTCTTAATACATTGTTTAATCTTGTTTGGTTCAGAAATGTTTTTGCCAAAATTTGATCAGAAACTGTTGAGTTAATGAAACTTGCTTACAGTGGTAACTGGATAATTGTTTCAATGGCTTCTGAGGAAAGCTTGAATCTAATTTCAATTGGAATTCGATTTCATTTCCGTTTCTTCAGCTATTAACTAGCTTGATTTGCTTTCGTCAAATATCAATCAAAAAGGTCGCCAATTTAGATAGCAATGGCAAAGTTGATGAAACAAAATTTAAAATAACAGATTCGATCTTCGAATAGTGAGCCTAAGCTATTTTCACCCTCTCCCATTATCGTACATTGCACTGTATATTGACCATAATTAACACCGATAATAAACCAACAATAACTATCAAACAGATTTACGTAAAGGTTGATTTGATCATAATAAACATTTCAATATACAAACCAAATTCCCAGATTACTTTGCATTTACGATTCAACCTGAACCATCAGATGTTATTGTATGTCATTAGGTGAGTTCCGATGCTCATTATAAATGCACATCATGGTCTCACTACCTTTTTAATACAAAGTTTCCTGAACTTAGAGTTTTTGACCAAAGTCTTAAAAAAGGTCAGAAATTTATGTAAATTTCATCGATTATCTGTTTGCTTTAATAGACAAACATGAGTTATCAAAGGTTTTTTCAATTCGAGGCCAAACAGCATAGAGTGACTCAACTTGATAACCTGTTTGATAACAATAATAATAACCTGTACAAGATCCAAAGAAGCATAATTCACGAAATGAGCCAAAACTGATGTCTTAATATGGCTTAGCTCCACGAGCATCGGGACTTACCTAAACCTCTAACCTTAAACGCAGCAACCAAAGTTGAAACCCAAACTTGAATAAAAAGTGAAATGACTCTCAAGAGGTGATTCAAAAAAAAAGGTTAAAATATTGACTTAAGCTATTACATGCTTGACTCTGATCTGACCGATTAATGAATCTAAATCCAATAAGCAACCAAAAAAAAGGTGAATCACAATTGGGATAAAAAGCTGTGAAAAGGTTTGACAACATTGTAACCTGAAGTGACACTTTTAAAAATGTCATTAATGATTAATTCGTTAATCAAGTGTTTCCATAAACTGTTTAATTAACTATTTCAGTAATGATTTGCTTCTGGGTATTTCCGGTCTACTGAAGGATTAACTAATCCAGAATAATAATAATGAGGAACCAAAAGTGGCGTCAAGAAAAGAGGTAAAAAAGATGAATGATTAATGGGGAAAGATGATGGGAATGATGAGAAGAATGATGAAGGGAGAGAAAGTGAAGATGAATAGTAAAGAGAAGAAGAGAAATGATGAAATGGATGAAAATGATGTTCCATGATGAGGATGATGATGAGAGGCGGAGAGGTGAAAGGATGAACTGAAAGTGAGAAAGAGGAGAAAGAAAGATTAACCAGAAAAAAAAGAAATGAGTAAACATGGGATGAATTTAATTTTTTGTCTTCTTCTCTCTCTTTTCCTTCTTTCCCTTCTCACCATTTACCTTTCCAATTTCATCTTCTCAACAACAGGTAACATCTTCCCCTTTTTGACCCACTAACTGAGCAACTAATCTATATCATGTTTATCATCATACTTGGTGAGACCAGTACAGGTTGAATAAGTGGTTCAGTTGAGTTGAAATCAAGAATCTTTTTTGATCATCATTTTCATCCTCATCACCATCATTTGACTAAATGATACGACCAGGTTAAGAAGAAGTTTACCTTTTTCTTTCATTTTTTTATTCTTCTTCTGTTTCTTTCATCTGTTATTGCTGGTTCCATTTATCCTCATTCATCTTTACCCTGTTCATTGATTGGAATACATCATTTCGTTGTTTCCTCTGTTGGTTGAGGATTTCATTTCAAATTGTGAATTTAACTTTTAAATCATTTGTTTTCATCTAAGGATTTCAAATTGGATAACACAATGTTTCAAACATTAACTGTAAGTCCATCAATTTTATTCACCTTATATCATTAAGATTAACAGATTAACAATTAGGATTACATTAAATTTTACATTTAAACATTTTCCATTTCAATTTCGCTTCTCTTTCCCATTTCAATCACAATTAACTCGTTATTTTTGTCACTTCTGACCAACATTGAGCTTCCTTTTTCCGCATTTAAATTGTTGTTTATTATTGCTAAGAAAAGTGATGAGAAATTAAAATTATAACAATAATGATGATTACAATTAAAGTGATTTACTTTCATTTTCCACTTCAATTAATCTTATAATAGTTCAATTTGAGATCAACTTTTGATTGCAAATTTTCAAGTAGTTTTAAAAGGTGAAAACGTTTTGCTCATTGGGATTTGTTGATATAAATTTGCTCAATCTTTTGCTCATGAAATGTTGACCTTTAAAGCATCGAAATAATCAACATTAGCAATTAGTTGAGTTAATCTGATTGATTATTGACATTTTTTGCCATCTAAAAAGCAATAGCAAAGAGATTTGCAAATTGGGTTCAAATATTTTTCACCCAATTAATCAATTAATCTTGTAATCTTGATTCAGGAATGGGTTAAGTGATAAATTAATGGTTGAAAATGTCTTTATAAATCTAAATGATGAAGATGAGGAAAATGGTTGAATGTTCAAATCCTTATCCTGGTTTGGTATTTCAATCTTTGCTTTTTTGCTTTAAGAGTTTTGAAGCTTCTTTCAACTGAATTTGAATGTTCATTTTTTTTCTTGTTTGTGAAATTCATCGGTATGAAGATGGCAATGATGAGGATGAACAGCTCAAGATTGACCTTTTAAAATTGGCAAAAAACAAAAAACTGAACGGATACATAATAAGTAGGTAATGAAGGATAAAATAGACCAACTTATTGATGGTTAACTTGTTGTTTATCAACGGGAAATGACCTTAAATAATAACTGTTGGCCTCAAATTTTTTTTACTCGTTCACTTTAACTCATTATTGTTATTATTATTATCACTTGTCTTGTCTTGTTATCATCATTATAATTGTATTGGAACATTTTCCGTTGGTTATCAGCAGTAGCTTTATATTTGTTTGGGCTCTTCTCTATGTCATCATCTTGTATTATGTTTGTAGACAATTATTGTTAATTGTTGACAGGTTCACATCAATTGTTGACCATCAATACATTTCAACATTGCTTTGAAAAGGTTAAATTTCATCTTTAGTCTTTTGGCCCATCCATGTTTTGGTCCCACCAAATTGTAAATAACTGTTGATTTAATTTACATCTCTTTGCTAGTTTAACGTTCTTTCGCTAATTGAGATTAATGAGTTGATTAATAATGACTGGAAAAATGATCAATAGCTTTGCTTGTTGGTGTCCATTGTAATTTACATTGAATGGTATAAATAAAGTTTCATCTCAATCATTTTCAGCTTTATCGTCGCGTTATTATTGCGTGTTTAAAGATATTACCAAATATTCCAGGAAAAAAGAGTGCTGATCATCAACACTGATTTACTTTTCTTTGCTTCCTATTAGACACGCAATCAGTACATTGATAATAACATTTCAACTAATTGTAAGAATAATCAGCAATAATTGTAACAGCTTCTCAATAAACACATCATGATGATAATGATGATGGAGATGATCACTTTATGTTAACAAGTGTATGTGGCTTCAAGTCTGGTTAAGGTTAATTTTGGCTTCCGACCAAAGATGCTACTTGCATAAGATGATGAAAAAAAACTGCTGTAATTGGTTTGATTGTTTAACGTTGAGTGTGTTTACTATCATTTCTGATCATGTTTGTAGTCCGTTATTGGGTGTTTGGGATCACAATTAATCAGAACGAATCGTGTGGTTTTCAATGTTAACCTCCAATATCGATGATCCATAAACTGTTACAATTTGCATTTTCACCAGCAACTCTTGTCATATACTAAACACTTGTTTTAGGCTTGTAAGATCCATCCTTGTCAACATTTAGCTGTCTTCATTGATCCACACTCAATTATACATATTGTAATTTATATTCAAAATTGTTTGACATGTTTATTTTGAAAGGGTTGATTTGTCTTTGAGCCATTGATGCTACAAATTTTGATTGAAATGTTTAACTGATTTCATTCACATTTCAAAAGCAAATCTTTGATCAAGTCTTTGCAGCCAGTCACAAATGAAAGTCTCTTTGATTGATTTGAGCCCTTTTGATGACATCAAGGTTACAACTGGTTATTGATTGTAAGCCAAACTTGTTAATCAATCATCATTTTGTAATACAATCCGAGTTGAGATGATATTGATCAATCCATCCATTTGTTTAAAGTTATTGATTGTTTCCCTCAAATCATATCATTTTCAATAATTGGCATCATTTTTGATCACCAGCATTGCCATCCATTTGATTCCAAGTTTACTTGAAAAAAAATACAAATAATTAGATATTTAGTTTAAATGTTATCCTTAATTTGGCCATTTATTATTAAAACTCACTGAAAATGACCATTGGAGTGAAATGGTCGCAATTATTGTGATTAACTATTTAATAGATAAGCTTTTGATGAGACTGATTCCTCCATTCACCTGATTCTGATTTTGCCCAAAAACATAATAAGGTTAATTTGGAAACATACAGTTAAGGTTTGAGGAATCAATATAATATAATATTTATTTAATATAAATTAACTAACAAACTCCAATGAATCTTAAGTTTAATAAATTGCCGCAAAACATTTAAATCTTACCTTTAACTGTAAACGCTTGAAAATCATTTTTATCCCTTTTTTTAGATATAAATAAATGTATTTATTTTCATTTTATCATCCACCAGATTCCTTTATCTTTAGCTTTGATGCTAAATTGATGGTGATACCTGTTAGGCCTGAAGCAAGATGCTTCAAGTCAGAGTAAAAAGTATCAAGATTGAGAAAAAAGAACAGATTGTTAGAATCAATGAAATTCAAGAATATTTAGAGATGGAAACAGAAAAGATTATCAATAAAATAATTTCTTTTTTTTTGACTTATCAATCTTTTTTGCTCTTCTTTTTTTTGTTTTACCTTAATATGATTTAACTAAATCAATTCATTATTATTACTGTATCCATCTTTGTATGCATATAAAGGATAAACAAATTATGTTGACTGTATGTATTGATGATGTTGATGTAGCTCAAGTCAAATGTGAGTTTATTTTTATGGTCCAAAAAATGGTTTATTTATTAATAAACCCAATATACATTATTCCTTCAATCATTTTGTTGTTGATCATCGCCATCATCATCAATTCATAACTCAATCTTCATTTGCTTCTTATAATGTCTAAGCTTGTTTTGTTACCTTTTCACCTTATTTTGTTTCTCTTTTGCTTTCTTCCTTAACCAATAATAATCTTTTAAACACGATTTCCGTTGGCCACTTTTAACAATCGCTGTTGATGTGTTCAATCTCAGGTCACGATGCTAACGTCCGATTCCTAAAATGCATCAGCCAAAATATTCATGTTGATCAGTTGATCAAGAGAAAACCAAAATGTAAAGGTCAGACAGATAAAGAAATAAAGGGATAAAAGGACATTCAAAGTGGAGTAAAATAAGGATATTATCAGCTTGTTTGTTGATACATAATTCAAAAGTAGATTTTTGATGATGATGGTGGCTTTAAATTATTGTTTAGATGATAATGATGTGTTAATGTTGATTCTTGTCATGGTTGTTTAAAATCACAAAAAAAGGGTTAAGCAAAATAACTTAAAATTCATTGTTTAGATTACTATGTAAATTATCATGGAATAAGAAAAACAACTTTTAATGCGCATTACCAAGTTTCTATGCTTTTTTGAAATTGGCGTCAAGTGACGCATTTTAACCGTTGCTTGTTAATTTGAATTTGAAACTATAATTTGTAGTTTTTCTTGCTTTTCTCGCTTTCTCGTCAATTAACTAATTAAAGCAATCTTCTGTCGTTACAATTTTTAATTAATTTAAGCGTTTAATGTTGATTGATGTTTTCCAGTTATTTTTTTTATTCGTTTCACAGTTATTAACTTTCAATGCTCGATTGATTGACATCTGACTTTGACTCTTTTTGTGTCTCAAATTTTGTTTTTGTCTGGTGATTCTAATATTTTTTTACTCTCTATTATTTACAGATTTTATCAGTTGCTTTGCTGTTAACCCTAACAGCAACTGTTTCAGCTGAAGAGGATCGAAATATATTGTCCAAGCTTAATTCAAATATCGAGTTGACTAAAGTTAATAACAATAAACCTGTTGCCCCAGTTTCTGGTGAACCTTTGAAAACAGCAGAAACTCGACCAGGAGCAACCGGCAGTGAATTTACAGCAAGTCACACCGAACAGTCTTATAGTTCTTCTGCATCTTTTGAATCATCTGGTGCTGGTGGTCCAGGATCATCATCATCGTCTGGTGAATTAAATGGTAACAGAGGTTCAGCTCCTGTTAATTCACAGGCTGCTTCATCAACAAGTTATCAAGTTTCTGGTGAAAATTTCGCTGGATCCAGTTCAGAAGGTCAACATCAGCAAAACCAACAATTGCAAACACAACCTCAACAACATGGATCTGCCGAGGTTTACTCATCATCTGCTGAAGATACTTCATCAGGTGCCGCTGCACCATCTACAGCACCTGCAGGTTATGGACGACCTGATCTTAATGAAGTTGACTTCAGTCGAACCAATGGCTATCATGCATCCGGAGCTAGATCTTTGTCACATCCTTATGGCTCTTATGATATTAGCGGGCAAACTTATGACTTACAGCGAAACCCTGAACCCGCTTATGATAACGGAGCATCAGGTGAATACAATTCAGCTCAAGCTAATGTTGCCAACGAAGGTGGATATAGTTTAAGTCAAGATACTGGTGCCTATGAAGATGCAAGTAAGTATTCATGAACTTGACATTAAAAATTTTATGATGAATAAACATATCCTTGTTTATTTAAACTTTAAATTTCAAGACCAATACTTGTTCTGACTAGTTAGCATATTTATATGTATAAATAGCATTAATAATATATCATTATAATTATTATTATTGCTTGACCTTTGAGATCTAAGTCATCTTTTTTTCTTTCTATTTTCCTTTCAATCTCTAATAAATGCTAGACCTGTAATTAGGCCGAATAATGATTTAATAAGAGAGTCAGTGCATGTGTGTGAGAGAGGCAAAAGAGAGTAGGAAGAACTAACGGAATAGAGCGGATGAGTCGTTGAGCAAGTGGCCTGCAACTAACGTTGACTTTTAAATGATTTTCGTGTGTCTAACTATTTTAACTTACTCTTAACCCATTTCTCTAGATTCTAATGAGGACGAGGGTAGTGCCTACCGCACCCAAGAGCCCGAAGGCTCACCGGTTCCTTTAGCTGGCTCCGGACCTGAAAATCATCAGCAACAACATCAACAGCAACATCAACAACAACAACAACAACTTCAACAGCAACAACAGCAGCAGCAACAACAACAGCAGCAACAATCAGTACCTTCAGCTGAACAAGGTGCACAAGGTCCTCGTAAAGCAAGCTCAACTCTAGCTACTCCTGGACCAGTTCCTGATTACGGTGGCTTCCGCCCAGTTATCAAAAGTCAAACTATTCCAGTTCCACCAATTCCAGGCCCACAACGACCTCCATATGCTTTGGCTCAAGGTGAACCCTTCCGATCCGTTTCTATCAATTACGAGCCACCAAAATCAATTTACAGTTATGATGGATCACCTAATACAGCCAATACTGGAAGTTACAATGCTAAAAGTTTCCCTGTATACGGCCATGGACAAAGAGAAGCCCAACCACAAGTAGCTACTCCTCCCAATTCTCATGCTGGTTATGGATTAGATTACGCTTCTGGTAAGCCTTACGGTGGAGATCTTTCCGTTAAGCCTTATTCATCCGATCCAAATGGAAATGTTAAAAAAATTATTCCAATGACCATCGGTTATGACGAACTTGTCAAGCCACCTACTCCATCAGCTGCCCCATATCATACTGCAGGTTCACCACCTTCATCACCCCATCACGGATCAGAATATATCGTTTCTCATGGTCCTCCTCAACAAGGCTATGAACAAGGTCCACCACAGGGTTCTTATGGTCAACCTCCTCAACAAGGTCCTCCTCAAGGTCAACAGGGTCCACCTCAATTCAATGGAGGCTATGGACAACCTGTCACATATCAAGCAACTCCTATTGGATATGCTCAACAAGATGCATATGAACAACAATCTGGTCCAATTGGCTATGATCAACCTCCTCAACAAAACCCTCACCACCACCATCAACAACAACAACAACAACCACCACAACAGCCACAACAAGGCCCACCTATGGGATCTCCAATCAACTATGGCCAACAAGGTCCAGTCTCATATGAACAAGCAGAACAAGTTCAAGTTCAACCACAACCTCCTCAACAAGGTCCACCACAAGGTCCACAACAAACTCCACCTCATCCTCAATCTCATCATCACTCTCATCCTTATCCTCATCCACAAGCCTCTGGTCAACTTTCTCCTCCCCCACCACAACATCAGATACAGCAAACTCCACCTGTCTATGAACAACACTCTGGTCCCGGCCCAGTTCTTTCAGGTTCACCCCCTGTTCAATTCGAGCATGAACAAAATTATGGACCACAATCTGCTTCCCCTGTTAACTATGAACAACAAGGACCAGGAGAGTACCAAGCAAGCCCACCTAAGCAAAACTATGAACAAACTACAACTTTCGTTGAGAGCTCAGGATACCCTGGTAACTTGGGACCCGCTTACGGTACAATTAAAGATGGACCAAGTCCATTATCTGGTTCCATTAGTGGTCCTGCACCTTCTCCCATGGAAGGTTACTCTGGTAACATAGCTTCAGAAAATGAATACTATCCATCATCTTATGATTCAATCGAAAACTCTGCTGGACCATCAAGCTATCCATCATCACTCCCTAGTTTCAATTCTCAAGGTGGAAGTTACTCCTCTGGAGGTTATTCACTCCCAGACGATTCTTACATGCAATCACTCTTTGGTTTCCCCACTTATGATGTTTCCTCAGGCAAAGGAAATCCTTATGCCGCTGGATCAAACCCAATACCTTCACCAGCATCTGCAGGATCGCATCTTTCAAAGTTCCCATCTGGCTTATCTGGTTCATCATCAGGTAAACCATCATCAGCATCTTTCTTACCTTCAATCAAACTGACTGGAAATGGAATTAAACTCACTGGTTTTGGTTCAAGTCTCAGCGGTGGATTAGGAAGTATTAACCAAGCAATTGCGTCAACTTTAGGATCAGGATTAAGTGGTGTCACCGGTCCAGGATTAGGATTAAGTTCAGGATTAAGTCAAGCATTAAGTTCAGGCTTAGGCTCAGGTTTAGGCTCAGGTTTAGGTTCAGGTTTAGGTTCAGGACCATCAATGAATGGCGCAGCTCTTCATGGCAGTGGACCCAACGCTGGTCGCGGTCGACCATTAGCATCATTCTACAACAATTTGTCCGGTTTAGGCTCACCTTTCGGCGGCCTTGGTGGACTTAATTACGGTACTGCAGCATCAAAGTTGATCCCACAAGCCATTCGTGCTCCATTCCGATCAATGTATCGAGCTCTTATGGGTAACGGTAATCCTAATCCAATGAATCCAATGAATGGTTAGATGCAGCTTTTTGATCATTAATTAGATTCTTCACTTTCACCACAATTTTCATCATCAAACTCATCATCATCATCATCATTTACATCATTTGCATCACATTCACTTTTCATCCTAAATTACCATTCTCATGCTGAAAAATGTCATCAAAATGCTTAACTTCACCTTCCGTCTCATCAATGAGCAAAAATAGCCTTTAAAATTTTTTTGCTCATATTTTTTTCGCCAACAATTCAACCATCATCCTCAATCATCATCATCACCATCACCACCATCATCACCCCCATCAACTTCATCTTCACCATTCTCACCTGCATCATCTTCCAGCATCTAAAATTTCACATTCCTCTATCAGTCGCCATCGAATTAACAGCATTTTCCCATTTCCTTTCTTTCCATTATTTGCGTCCCACCACACTTCAAGGAGGATTTAATTACAACCTAAATCAATTATAACCACATTGAGACTTTCCTTTATAACGTTACAACGTAATTTGAAACTGATAACAAAAACAATCATTGTGTTTCCTCCATTTTTTACATTCTTGTTTCACCATCATTACCATCATAGTCTTTCGCTTTCTCTCATCACTTTTTGCCATTTTCTTACTTTTTTCGTCCATCTATCTTCCTCTCTATCCCTCTCTCTCTCTCTCTCTCACTGAGTGATACTGATAAATGCTCAGAAAACTAAACTCAAAATTTGGGCTTCCATTCCAATTGTGAAATGAAAAAAAAACAAAGAGAATCTCGGAGAACCTAAACTGACCAGACAAATGATCAAAACGATTCAAGACTCATCATTACCACCACCACCACCATCACAATCATCATCCTCATAATCATCAATATCATCATGAGAAACAACGAAATAAAGCCAAGCAAGTTTCCTAGTAAAGCATGGATGTGATTAGGTCTTAAACTAATTCACTTCAATCTTTCAAAAACTTGATCATCACTTCTTTTAGTCCATCATCTTTGTTTTTCCAACTCTTTCAACCTTTTCATCCTCATCTTGTTCAACTCTTTCTCACTGTAATCAAAATTTTTTTTACAAAACATTATTTCCATGAGAAAACTTTTCATACCTGAATTGTTAACACTTTGTATTGTTAGAAAAAAAAACAAATGAAAACAAAAAACAAGATGAGTAAAGAAACAAAACACAATCAAACAACATTGATTAACTAAATAAATAAATATATATAAATATACATTTATATATTAAAAAGAAACAAAAAACGCGCCAAGAAAAGAGCAAAAATCTAAATTTTTATTGACTTTTCCATTTTTAGCCCAAAAAGATTACCATTTTTTAATCTCCATCTTAATCTGAAAAAATGAAACCCATTTAACTTTCCCTTTTCCCAACCTGACGATCATCATTATTAATACCTCTTCTCCCATCCTTAACACAATCTTAATCTGACCAGTAAAATGAGACAAAACATTGAGAAACTGAATCAACATTATGCTAATGATGACCAATTCTCGGAACCGGAATCGACCAAATTGAGACATTTTTAAACCTTTACCTGCAACAATCACCATTAGAAGGTTCACAATCATAATCTTTACCTGTTTGTAATAAACTGTTTGGCAACTCGGACAAGCCCAGAAGGATGAAGATGAATGATGGAAAGCGCGTTCGAGAAAAAATGATGAAAATTTAAGTGAAATTTATCTTCTCAATCATCATAATCAACAATCAAATGGTTAAGCTATTTTAAGTGTAAAACTTGTTGCTGTTTTGTTTTATCCTCGGTCAACATTAAAATGTTTCAACTCTACTTTAACCATCATCATGATCAACATGTAAGATCAATGAACCATCATGATGTGAGAGAGAGTTGAGACTCGAAGCAAGATTCATTTTCTATATCAGAATCCCAAGATTTGGCGGAGAAGAAGATGAAGAGAGAAGAAAAAAGAGACTGATTAGCTGTCAAAAGAAGCTATTCATCACTTATTATGTGGACTTTGAAAAGGCCAAATTAACGGTGAAATGGGTCAGTTGATTGCAATGAATCTATCAAACATTTGCTGTTATAAATATCATTTGGATAATATTTATATTGTTTCCTTTCCGATTATCATTAAAAGGCAACAGCAAACTGATGAGACAATTAATTAACAGGTTAAAAACATTAACAATTACAATAGTTAATTAGACAACCTTTAAATATATTTGTCAGGTTATCAGATTAAATTGTGTTCAAATATACCTTCAGTTAAAACATTTCACCCAATGAAGCTGTAAAGGAGCAACAATTAACATGTAAACATTGACTTGGTAACCAAATTTTCAGCAACAATTTAACAATTTACCAACAATTCTCTAAATTATCTCTCAATTGTTTCAATTATTGAATCTTTATTTTGAGAAACAGTTGATTCAAAGCTAAAAATGGTTGAATAAATTGAAATTAAAGGTCAAGCAAAATGGCAAATTGTTGACAAAAACCTTTAGGCTTTTGGATCGCATTTGGATCAAATTAAGATTCAGTCTTTTAATGATTCTAATTGAACTGTCGTTATGATTAAGTAATAACTTTAATTGTCGACAATTTGATTAAATGGTTCATTTGAAGGTTCAAAAAACGGTTGAAAAGAGTCAAACATTAATGTTTGGAGATTTGAAAGCAAAGCCAATCACAATTTTTACAGCTTCAATGTCGGTTTAATTGGTGAAATTGTTCAATTCAAATCAATTTAAATTGATTTACTTGGTTGACTAATTGATTATCAATGGGAATACAAAAAAATAGATTCTTGATTCAATGAAAGCAAATTGCTGAAAACTGGTTAAACTGATCAATCTTTAGGTTACCTTCATTGTCATCGGAATTGTAATCAAACTCATTATAACCATTATGATAATGATAATTTTTGCACTTTTCTTATGATTCTGTTTAAGCAATAAGTTAAGTATAAATAAATGAAATTAGTTAAAATCAGGTTTTCAGACGCAATTAAACTTGTTTCAAGTGAATCTTTTGAGTTCCGTTTTCACCTAAAAATATCAGTTTACCTTTCCATTGTAAATGTTAATGAAAGCTTTTGTATTTTGTATTTTAATTTAAATTTTCATGAATAAATACAATTTCATTTGTAAACCTTTGTCCAGCTTTGGACATGAAAAGAGTGAATATTTGATGAAACATTGAATTTAAACAAATGATTGATTGCTGGTCAAATTAACGAAATTGTTTGCTTTTAATTTCCATTCGATTGACAGTAAATGCTTCATTTAAATAGCTTAATTAGCTTAAATGTTTCATTGGAAACAAATTGTCTCTCAAGCTACAATCAAGGTGAACAATTTGAATCATTTGAAACACTTTTTGCTGACAATCAGACAGTTAATGATGTCTTAAGTGCAAAACATCATTGAAAAGGTAACATTTAATTAAACGGTCGGAAAGCGATGTTTAAATTTATAAAAAGAAAGGTTAAAAATTTAATTGTTAATGAGTTAAATTAGCTCTTATAACTGTTGGACAAAAAAGTAAATAGCAATTAAATGTTTAAATTGGTTAATGATATTGAGCCGGACAAATGATGGGAAAACATGAAACCTAAAAAAAATCAACAGATGAGAAACAATCAAATATTGTGATTAAACCTTAAATCACTGAAAGACTTTGAATTTAAACCCAAATCATTAAACATATTATTTAAGGTTAAATATTGAAATAACAATGAAAATTATTGTTATAATTGAAATTACTTTTGGATATCAAAATCGGAGCTTGAGTTATAATGTTTTCATTGATTCACTTTATATCAAAATTTAGTTTATCAAGATGAATCATGATGAATATGGTTAACCGGGTTCAACTGATTCATCTGATTCAAATTAAGATAATCTAAATCATTGTAATCTCATCTTAAATCAAACCATTTTCATCCAATTTCATTCACTATTTTCATCAACCTTATTGTTAACCTTGAGACAAACAACATTATAATTATCAATTACTTAACCATATCATTATATTATATTATTAACTTTAAATTGTTCATCTTTTATCGCATCTTCAGATCTTCTTTAATCATGAAAATCTTGACCATTAACTATACATAAATTAATAGCAATTTTTAAATTATTATCATATGATTATAACATTTCCATTCAATTTTGAATGTTGGACTAGTCAAGAGCACAATACAATCCTTTCATCGTGATGTTAACATTGATCTACAATTTGATTTGCTTAAGTTATTCAATAATACAATTTGATTCAATGTTGATATCGGTTGATCTTTCTTGATTAGTGAATTAATGATGATTAATTTGGTCCAATTAGTTGATAATAAACACCTTTTTTTTGGGGTTTCTGTTGGTTTTATTTTTCCTTTTCTCAGGCCTTTTATTTTGGTTATGTTTTTAAGTTTATATTTAAATCGATCGGAATTCACTCGGATTCAGCTTTAATCATCAGTTATTCATTTAAATTGATTATTTAATTGTCTTTGAATTGAGCTTTTTTTGTGGCAATAAAATTTGATGTTTGTAGTTATTTAAAGTTGATTTTTGGTGGTTGGCTTTCATTGAAATGTGAAACATTTTTTGGATCATTATTGATCCCATCGTTGAATCAAATTGTGAATTAATTAACTCTTGATTGATCCTTTTTTTAATTCACTGTTATTTATATAATGAAGATGAAGCTTTACTTAATCAGAAAAAAAGGTAAAATTGTTTGATTGCGTGCGTTTACCTTATTTAACACAAGAAATTTTTCATTATAATTGTACAGGAAAGATGTGAACACACACAAGCAAGTGGTTTAGCTCGGGAATCAAAATTTCACCAAGAAAATTGATTATAAAATACTATATAATAATCAATTCTAATTTAGTTATTAGCTAATGTATAAATAAATATATATATACAAAATGACCGCAAGGTGAACAGGGAAGAAAAAGTCATAGTAATCACGTAAATAATTAGTTTAATTAATGTTGACCAAATGGGAAGATAAAGTTGAAAAACCAGAGTGAAGATGACCTGGAAATAATACACATACCGATAGCCTTTTGACTTGTAATTTATAATCTAATAATGTTAAGCTATAACCAGGATCAATATATATCAATACACACAAACATGTACATAAATATATAACTAAATCAAGTAATAATTATCAATTGATGAATAAGGAAAGCATTTTAAGGATACTCCAAACATCCTGGTTTTGTTACCGTTACAAAATACCTTAAATAACTGGTAAAACCATTTTGGGTAAAACAGTCACACACTTAAAAATATATATAAAAGGTTGCTTCAAAGTAAACAGAAAACGTTGATTCCAAGTGAACATCTAAATAACAATAAACAATTTAAATTAATTTTGATTAATAATCGTAAAAAATATTGACAAAAAAAAAGACAAAAACAGCTGACAAAAGTGTATCAATAAGCCATTAGCGCGACATCACAGAGATTACTTTTTGAAATAAGAGATGGCGATCACCAATTAACCAGCCTTCAGCTAAATTGTATTATTGTAATTGTAATCATTGAAAGGATAAAGGTGAAAATGAAATGCTCTTGAGGCAGTGAAACTGAATTTATAAATTTAGGAATTAAAACTTAATAAGAACGGCTTACCGATTCAGATTACGAAGTGATTACAATTTAAGGTTCATCTTAATTTTGCAGATTACTTCAGATTGCTTCATTTCATCGCCGCCATCATTATTGGGTGATCTATCTGACAATTTGTTACCTTGATTGGAGTCATCAGTTAAGAGGCAATGGTAAAAAGGACGTTAATTTACAGCAATTAATAAGCATCACTATTTTGTCCCAGTAGTTAATGAGATCAGAATCAGATAATTTGGTCAGATTTTTCATTGATTATATCAAATGATTGCTCATTTTATTTACATTTTGTTGATATTAAACCAAACAACTATTTTCAATATCAATTGGCCTGAAGATTGAAAACAAATAACACATTCAGAGCCATTCTTGACCGGCTAATAATGTTAATAAATTTAAACCGTCAAGTATAATGCTCTTGTCTACTAATTTATCAGCAATTTGTTTACTAATTGACTTTTCTTGTTTCAATATATTGACTTAAATTGTTGGCCATCAACATCAATTTCATTGTTAGGTCACAATTTTCAGCTAAACTGCATTCTTATGTGTTTGACAAGTTTATGTTTTTGACTTTTTACAGGTTCCATCAATTTATGATTAAGATTATTGATTAAGATCGTGATCATCAGATTTTTAGACTCAATAATTGTTCAATAGATTAAATATTCGTTTTCAAGGCATTTAGTTGATTAACTGTCTTAGGGTTTGAGTTAAGCTTGGACAAGGTGAAAACCTCATTCCAATTGAAAAATATTTGAATGTATATTTAAGGGTTATTTACGGGCTATTTAAGCTTTGACAGACTTGTCCGTATTTCAAGTGTTCATGTAAAATGATTAAGATGACTTGAAAAATGAAACTTGAAAAGATGTTAACATTTGAAACATTTCACGATAATTCAAGGAATTATCTAATGAAAAATTTAACATATCAAGATGACACCAAAAGTATCAAAAATGTTACAAATGGTCACTCAAAATAGCGTTAATCGATAAAAAAAGTGCAAACTCAAATTCAGTTTATAATATTTGCTTTGAAAGGTTAATTGAGTTAAACGGATTTATTAAACATATTATATAAGGTTAAATATTGAAATAACAATAAAATTTATTGTTACAATTGAAATTACTCTTGGATATAAAAATCTGAGCTTGAGTTATAATGTTTTCATTGATTCACTTTATATCAAAATTTAGTTTATCATGATGAATCATGATGAATATGGTTAACCGGGTTCAACTGATTCATCTGATTCAAATTAAGATAATCTAAATCATTGTAATCGCATCTTAAATCAAACCATTTTCATCCAATTTCATTCACTATTTTCATCAACCTTATTGTTAACCTTGAGACAAACAACATTATAATTATCAATTACTTAACCATATCATTATTTTATATTATTAACTTTAAATTGTTCATCTTTTATCAGATCTTCAGATCTTCTTTAATCATGAAAATCTTGACCATTAACTATACATAAATTAATAGCAATTTTTAAATTATTATCATATGATTATAACATTTCCATTCAATTTTGAATGTTGGACTAGTCAAGAGCACACAATACAATCCTTTCATCGTGATGTTAACATTGATCTACAATTTGATTTGCTTAAGTTATTCAATAATACAATTCATTTAATTATTTCGATATTAATATTGGTAGATTGTATTTGATATTGTATTTCATGAAAGGATGTCTTCAAGTGTAAACAGCAATTTAGGCTTGATTAAGATTATTTATCTAATTTTTATCTTTATGTCATCGTGTAACTAATGCTAATGTCTTTATTATCATGACACGTATTTCTTGATTGTTCTGGTAATGTTTTTAATTGGAGTTAATTTACCGATAGAATAAACTAGGACTTTTGTTTGTCTCCAAAATTTAACTTTTTATTTTAACATTTTAATCGGCTTTCCAACATTGTTGATCGAATTCAATTGATTTTAATAATATTTCGAAAAAGATGAAGAATTAAATTGCTTAGTTTATTATCTTATAGTCTCAGAATTGTTTGCCTTTGGAGAAGGTTTTAATTGAAATTTGATGATGCCATGTGAAGTGAACCACCTTGTGTTAAATATCCTGCGACATTGGTATTACCAGTTAAATAACCAGAAATGTGAGAATTGGTTATGAACAGGTCATGCTTTTGATCACGGAACTCGGACCAAACAGGATTTTTGTCCAAAATGTTACCGACTTGCTCTCCATAAGCCTGACTTTGAAGCATTGATTTTAATAGTTGAACTATGATTGCTTTCGTGCTTGAATCGTATGTGGATTGGCCTGAGTCGAGCAGTTTCAATAAGAAGTCAATCAGTTTAACTTGAAGAGCAATAGGAACCAATTTATCATTAGCATCGGCAACGAACATGTTATTCAATGTTTGGCATCCTAAGGCTGCTAAGGTTGTATCACTGGATATAGCTTTAATCATTTGGGAGAGTATATAATCATATTGAATCATTGACTCAACACAAGGTTTATTATAAGATAACTGGTGAAGAACAGATAAAGCTGAATGTGGAACCAACGAGTGTTTGCTGTTGGAAAGTTGATCAATCAATCCTTTAATATAACCCATTGGTGGAATCATGTCCAGAAGTGGAGGTCTAGCCTGCAAAAGGCTTACAAGAGCTTTTGTTGAAAGTTCAAGTTTCGTTTCCTAAAACATGATATGAAAAAGAAACAATTAGATGATCAAATTTAAATAATACAACTAAATATTACAAATATTGTAAGTGAGAGTAGATTTGATTAATAGGTCATTGGGTTAGCAGATTAGACACTTTTGATGACTAAGGTCTTAAATTTTATCTTGATCAAGTTTCACAAAGAATCACCATTCATATTGCTAATACGCAAATAGAAGGTGTAATAAATAAAAAAGTAAATCAATTAATTTCCTGTTTAAAAGTCATAAATAATAAAAAAATCAGCCTTAAATTTGACTTGAAAACTTTCATTCAGAACATTTCCAGCAATCTACTCAATTTTTAATTATATTTTTGAAACTAACTATCCTAAAAAGCTATCAAGTAAATGGTAACATGCAATTAAAAAGTGAATTACTGATTGAAAATGTGATAAACATACAAAATGCAAGCAAATTTATTAAATTAATCGCAAAATTCATCAAAAACCTTATCTGTTAGCTATTAATTAATGACTTGGCAATTAGATCAAAAGATTTACTTACATCAATCTGTGACTTTGACATAAGAGATTGTACAGTGTCCATAAGTTCGGTTAAAAATTGTTTGAGACGTTGAGGAGTCCAGGAGGGATTAAGAACAAAGAGCCGCAAGAAAACGCCAGCAACAACCATTTCATCGGCAGCTATGGGTATTTTAATTTCAAAATCATCATCAAGCTTCCAATTAGTGGCTGGATTCTCTAATTGACTGGAATATAAACTTTGAGACATTGTACGAATGGTTGATGATACCTTGGTCCGAGCTTCATCAGCCCATATGAGTTCAGGGTTTTCCTGATTTCGGTCAAACAGGTTGACCGCTTCTTGAGGTGACTCTTTCATTGATTCAATAAATGAAACTGGTAAAAATTTGCACAAAATTAAACGTATTTTTGGTCCATTCAACTTATCGATGGTCATTTTAGCTAAAAGCTCAGCACTTTTCTCACGAATCTTATGATCACTTGAATTACAGAAAATATCCAACAGATAGAGAACACCTCCTTTAACCATTGACTCTCTGACCAATTTACTGTTGGTCATTAAAGGTAACATAGTTTCTAAAACGGTTGTTTGTCGAGTGACAGCATCAGCTGAAGGAGCTGCATGTAAAACCAATAAAAGGTAAACTAAAACTTCAGAAGAAGCAATGTCATTGACACATTCTTGATTACCACTGACACAGGCAATCACATTGACAACAATTAACTGAATTTGTGGCCATTGGTCAGCTCGAAGAAGACTAAAAAGCAGCTTAAAGTGTCCAATACACTTGGTCTCGACTCCGGCATTATTTTTGATTACATTAAACAAAGCCTGTAGACACATTTCAACATTTTTTATACGCTCAGGATTTAATTGGGTTTGAGTAGCTAAGGCAGAATGTAAATATTGCGCCTGAGATCCAACATGGTCCAGTAAACTAACAGTAAATTCTTTGGCATTGGTTAATGGGAAGGAAGGCATCTCATTGAAAACTCTAACAAATATTTCACCAACAATCAGCTCATCCTTGTGACTAGAAAAGGTAAAACTGGCACCCCAAGTTTCATCTGGACACCGACCACTTCGTATAATTTCACGCTGTTGTGTTTCCAGGTAATCAATTAATTCAGCTCTGGTTGCATTGTCCCAAATCAAGTATGGATTTTCAATGTTACTGTTTAATGTTTTCAACAGTTGGGCAACATTTGAGATTCCCAATTGACGGGAAAGATAAGGTGTTAATAAAGCTTGAAGACAATTACCAATTGTTGGATTAGATCTAGATCCGGCAGCAATCTCTTCGTCTGTTAAATCACCAGCTAATCTGGCACAGGCAATGATGGACATTTTAGCCAATTGATTGGCCACTTGTTGTTGATTAGTTTCTTCATCTGCTTCAACACCACCCTCTTCCAAGGTGTAATCATATTTAAAGAGAAACAAGAGAAGACTGAAAAGTACACCAGAGTCAAAGAGTTGCTGTTGAAGCACTTCGTCAGCAGCAAATGCTGAAATACACTCAACAGCACACAAACATAGTCTGGTGAGGCGATTGTAATACAAAATTCGGCCAATATCTTTTGAAATTGAGGAAAGCTCGACAATTCGAGTGCGACAGGCAGGGAAAGAAGCTGCTACAGTGAAACATCGAACAATATGAATGCTAACTTGCACAGCAACATCATTTGGTACCGATGATTGTGATAAAACTGAAACACACCGGGAAAAGGCTTCTTTGAGTATTTCTAATCCACCTTCACGACGAAGTTCTTCAGCATTGAGCGCTGAACATTTAACTGTATGGAATGCAGTTTCACAGGCATGAGGTAATAAGGGATGAGGTTTAGAAAATAATTGTTCATCTTCTGTTTCCATTCGCAAAGTTTTGACGAGCATTGGATAACCAGAATACTTATATGGGTGAAGTTCATCGGAACATTGATTAAACAAAATACTTTGAGCTCGTAAGATAAGGGTTATATTAACTGGATCAGGACCTTCGACACATCGGTTACGCAAGTTTTTACTAACCAAAAATTCATATGCTTTGTTAATCTCTTCAAACTTGTCGCGACCCTCTGGATTCTTGTCTGGATGGTATTTTTGAGCCAATCTAAAGTACGCTCTACGGATAACATTTTCGTCCAGACCAGCTTCACGCTGTTCATGAGTCAATTCAAGGACATCATAAGCATCGTCAGCCGACATAGAATTGGGCTTCTTTTCAACTTCTTCTTTCCACGCTTCAAGAATGTCTTTCAGTAGATCAACAGGATTTTTGATTGGCCAGTTGGGAAATCTATGAGCATCACAGAGATTTTTAAGGTAATAAATATTGCAGAATAATTCATTTTCCAGTTGAGGATATTGAATTGGAGGAATGGGACAGTATTGGTACAAAGCACGGGTATTTGATCGCAGACGTGGAGTAAAGTCGGCAATATGAGTAGCAATTTTTTCAATCATAAGTCGCCTCATTTCACCGTTCCAGATAGCTTCAGGTGTATCAAATTCACCCAAGAAAATTTGGGCAAACCTTTCAGGCCCATAGTTTTCAAGATAACAGATCATTGCTTCCGGTAGTAATGAGCCAAGAATACTTCGTTGGACAATATTGCTTTTACGGCCTGGATCATCAGATCTGAATGCTTGATTAGAGTGACTTATATGGAGCAATCGGCCAATTGGTAAAAGATTAGATCCAGTGTACATTAAAATGAAATAAAAGAGACCAGTTTGGTATAGACGGGACATTGATGGATTGTCCTGCATAACATGGGTCAAAAGGGTAGCCACTCTTGCAACCAGGACAGAGTCAAAGGTTAAAAGAAGCTGAACAATGTGACGTAAACAATTGTCTTCAGACAGGAAACGTTTAATTCGAGGCAAGGGTCGGATGATTGCACCATCAGAATCTCGACTTGGATAATATTCACATATATGAATGAATATTTCTAAAATGAGAGTTGCTAACTCAGTTTCATTCATGATACCGGGAGTTTTATAGAGAAGATACCATTTTAATTGTGGTATATCACCTAATCGGTTCCAGCCGTCTACACCAGAAGCATAACACTTTGTTGATTCATTAATTAAATTAGAAGCAGCCATCTCTTTCATCTCTTTGAAACTGAAGGGTCCTTTTTTATCTTTATCCTCCATATAATACCACTCCTGCCAGGATTCATGCGAAGACATCTGATCAGCAGTTCCTTCAATCAAATTTGTTTGAGCATTGACTATTGCTCTGCTCACATGAAGATGAGCCAATGTAAGTAGATCAACGAGAACTTTAATACCACCAGCATCAATTAAATGTTTGACATTTTCTTGATTAAGGACCAACTTTGATATGAATATTAGGAGACGGTCACGTTCAACACGATCAACTGAATTTTTTAACATAGCAATAATCCATTTAACATCATTAAATGTACCAATATCGGCATGATACGCATCATAAACAATTGACATTGCTTGTAAGCAGCAAATTTTCATTGAGGCTTTAGTTGGTAGAAGAAAGCGATGATACAAATCGTTGAAAAATTCGTAGGGTTTTTTAATAAGCAATTTATCACTTAACATAAGTGATTGACCTCTCTCTCCTTCCTCCAAGAGTAAACGTAAATAATAATCATTAATTCGTATTTCATCACCCAATGAATGATATGGAACTTCATATTCACGATGATTCCATGAGATAGCAATTGTGTTTGAAATAAGTTCTTTATTTTGATTAAAAGCTCGATTTTCATTTTCCAATGATTCACGTAGTTCTTCTCGTGTTTTATAATTCCAAATAAGATCAGGCTTGGCGTGATCATTTTCAAATTGATAATAAAACATAGGCCAATTGGCAGTACTTTTGATTCGCTCTCTTCTTTTTCTCAATAAAATTGGTTTTATTTGAGGTCGATTATCTGTTCTTTTTGGAATTCCAATCCGTTCTCTCCAATGTTTCAAAGCTGTTTCAACTTGCCTTTCAATAACTCTGACAGATGGATGGATATCACGAATTTGGTCCAACGCGGTACGAGATTTCAGTGCACTGTCTTGAGCCATTTTCAAGTTATTTCTTTCATTGAGTTTTGACAAGGCGCTTTTTGGTGGTTTACTTGTACTTTCAAGATAATTTAATAAACCAAGGGGAAAAATTCGACGCAACAAAGCCATTGCAGTTTCATTATCAACAATCCACAAGGCAACCAAATGACGAGAAAGTTGTTGAAACGCAAGATATCGAGAATCATTGGAAGGTGGGAAAAGGGCGATATGTAAATGTCTCGGAAGCGAACCTTCAGCTAAGGCCAATTCTTGCATTTGATGTGCTATCTTTGCATCACCTTCCTCTATGATGGCTTTCATTACTAAACCGGCCCCTTTGACAATAGCTAATGATGGGTGTTGAAATAATTTAAATAATGGTCGACCATAGGATGCAACCATGGTTAAAAGAGTATCAAAATGACCTCCATCGGTTGTTTCACTATAAGGTGCACACAAGGCAAAAGTTAAAAAGTCCAACATTGATGCAACAACCAAAGCTCCAGTTCCACAGTTAACATGATATTTTAACACATTCAGAATATCTTCAAGAAATTTTTTCGATGAAAGAAGAGAACTCTTGTTGAGTTGCTCTTGCCTTAGATCGTAATCATCGTGCATAGGCTATAAATGATAATACGGAAAGATAAAAAATAGGAAGTGAAAATAGCAAATATAAAATGTTAAAGGTTATATTAACTGAAAAAAAAACAAAAGTGAAAGTTTTTTTTCAATAAAAGAGTTACTAACCTGCATAAGAGCACAAAGTATGTCAATAGCTGCATGAGTCACTGCATCATTCTTCCTGTCTAAAGCATTAACAACTTTAACACCAAGATACTCTCGAAATCTAGGACTTAAAGTGAAAGCTGCAAATCCAGCCTTTGAGGCAACTAATCGACGGAGAGCTTGAAAATGTTGCTCTAAATTTTCATGGTTAACTTCTCTTTGTTCAGCTTCTTTCTCAACAAAAGCTCCCAAAGCTAGTTGAATCAATTTCTCTTTATTTTCAGAGAAAAGTCCGTCTTGAGTGACACTATGCAATAAGCCACTATAAGAACAATTGCTGTTGAATCTGATAACAGCATCATTAAAAGTCCAGCCATTTGGTAGAGTATGAAGAAATTTCAAATGTCTACTCTCCGTTTCTTCATCAACAGGCACTGAATAAGGACCAATACGATGTCCTCGGCAAGTGGGTGTCATCTTTACATGGATATCAATATTACCAGATGCTCTGACTCCGTCTAATAGAGAAGCTAATAATGCATCTCGGTCAGTTGAGGTGTAACCCGCAACTTGTCCACGAATAAATTCAACCAAAAATAGTTGAGGGTTAGTTGGATTTCGCACAAGAGCAAATATTTCATGAAGCGGCTTTAATGTAACAATACTGTAAGAGTTAGGATCTCTTTCAATTAAACAAGAATCAGTCAGGGCCAATATTCTACGAACAGGATCACGAGCATTTCGGGCGGTTACCTTATGAACTGTAAATTCATAAAGTGAGGTGATAGCATCGTCTGTGGAATGTTTGCCAAAACGGTTTAACAAGAAATGATCTAGGGAAATTGGATCTTTTTTTATACGAATAAGAGAACCAGTATGAAGCCAAGATACTTCACAGATCTTTTTAAGAAGATCATCTCGAGAGCCCGGTGTACAGGTAAACAGATGCAATCTGGAAAAGCCACCGGTTGAAATGGCAAAAGCGGGATTATTGTCAATATTTTGATTCAATAAAATTAAATCATCAATATCACGGTAAAAATAGGAAGTAAGTAAACGACCAGTAGTAGGGTTTATCTGATTGATTCCATGCAAATCAATTTCAATTGTAACTGGTATTAGTTTTTCTGACCAGGAATATTTGAAACAATCGTATCGATGGATGGCGATTCTTGGTGTCATTTCAGAAAATTTAGCTCTATGAGCTAAAGCAGAACAGATAATGTCACTTCTGTATTCAGAGGAAAATTTCATTGTATCTGTTTTTCGTTTCTTGGTTATTATGATTAAATTAAACATTTCATTGCCTCCAATGTTAAGAGTTGCATCTTGATATTGAAGTTTCTCGTTGATTGGACTGACGTTGATAATATCACAGAAAGACCAAACATTAGTAGCCTCCATACTGTTTGGATTATATGTAGTGATACCTTGAGTACCAATTGTTAATATCCGTTTGTAGCTGTAAGAAAAGATTTGTAAAAAGAGATTAAAAAAGAATTGAAAAAAATTTGACAACGAGAAAATCCATAGTACAGGAGTAAAACAAAATGCATATCTCTTGAAGGTAACCAGATAGATCATCAGTAATCGTGATGAGCTTGATACATTAACAAAATAAGTCTAGAGGAGTAAATCCATGTAAACTCCTCTGTAAGTAAATCCAGAAAGAAGTAAATAAAAGTAAAACAAGCAACTATCATAAGAAAACAACAAAACTTACTTTCCTCTCCATGAGTGTTTTGTGACCAGAAAACTGGACAGCTCTCGAGAGTCCATATTACCTGATGGTGAATGTATCATATTTGCTTTTACCTAAGAGACACTAAATTAATTACACTTATAAGAATCATATTCAATTAGTTGACATTGACAGTGATGAAGTTAATAAAACGATTAAACAAACAATAACGCCTTTACTAGCTTTTCTCATTATGTATTTTTCGCAAGCAAAGATCCTGGGATAAAATATCTCATGACGCATGACTGTATTTAATACCTGTTAAGCGGATGATTTAAATTACCAGCGAGAATATCATTTGCAAAGAAATTAACTTTTCATATTAATCAAATTATCAATAAGGCAGTTACAATTTATCTGATTGGAAACATCAAATCTGAGACAATAAAATAAAACAATAATCAGTAGGTGTTTTCATCGGTTTCTCACTCTCACTATCTTTTCCCTTCATCACGTTCCTTGGAGTGTGAACAAGACCTAATTTATTTCCAATCATCATGAGCCTCTGATGAATTACAATCAATTTTGCAATGAATCTAATGTAATAATCGGGTGATTTTTCATTGGCTTACTAACAAAAATTACAATATGCTTAATAATTTCAACTTGAATGTGTGTAAATTTCAGTCTAATTGATAACCTTTTTCTAGATGATCGCTGAAAATTTGACCCAATAAATATGGATTACCCTAGATGATTCACAATTTTTAGTTTGAATGTTATTCGTTGCAATCACTTGACAATGTGTAATCATTAATCCATTAATTCTTTACTCATTGAACTGCTAAAAATGAAGAGTTTCAATGGAGAAATCTCATCACAATAATCATGTGCTCTTGCTATCATAAGATTAAACTAGATGGCGTTGAATTTCTTTGAAAATGTGTGATCAAAATTGAATGTTTTGGTCGTCAATGATTTTTTTGTAATACAATTAATTGTCGGCTAAAAAATGTCTCTTGTTACTCATATTGCTAAACGTTATTTGAATATTCCTGTCTATGGTGGACCTTACATCAACAAGGGCTGGGCTCATAAAGGCAAAGGACCTCGAGATCTAGAGGAAGCTGCTCTTCATTTCAAAAAGACGCTTGAAAAAGAAGTAACTGAACCTTCTCCATTTCATATTGTTTTTCGACACAAAAAAACTAACACAGAACCATGGATGATTAAAGTTAAATTACGAAGTCTAGGTATGTCTAAAAATCATATGCTATTTCATGTTAACTCTAATCCAATCGTATTAACTTTACAGGTCTACATGGTTCAGCTGTTGGATACCCTGTGCTTGTACCCAATACACCACATTTTAATGCACTTTTGTGGGATGTCAAACATTTAATTCGATTAAAACCGGTGATATTTACCAATGGAATACCCACTGAGAAAGATATTGGAGCTACCAAGTTGTGTATGTTCACTGGAAAATTTGAGATTAATGAAGCTTTCCGAGTGAACGATGAAAAAGTTTGGGGAGAGCAAACATCTGGATTTTACCAGGGCAATTACTTGAGAGATTATTTGCGAAAACTGTCCGGAATAACGCATATTTCTTATGCTTGATGTTTAAAATATCGTATTGTATTCATTAGTTATATTAGCAAATTAAAGTAATTACATTATAAAACATAGATGGTTACAATAATTTGATTGATTCTTTCTCTTATTTCTCTTATAAGAAATCAATGTCTCTAAATTCAATGTTATATCATGTACACGTATTATCTACAAACTATGGATAAAATATATACATTTGACCAATTTATAACAATTATTTTAAGTTAAAACAGTATAATAGACAATCATTAAATGGTGAAACTTTCACCACAACCACAGGTTCCTTTGACATTTGGATTTTTGAAAACAAACTCAGAGGATAATTTTGTTTCGACAAAATCCATTTCAGTTCCTAATAATGTTAATAAAGCTTTGCTATCTAAAAATACACAAACTCCATCTTGAACAACTTCTTCGTCGAGCTTATTTTTTTCTTTGGCGTAATCTAGATGATAAGTTAGTCCATTGCATCCTTTTTGTTTAACAGTTACTCGTAATCCAATAGCACCTGGCTGATCCTTCAGTACTTCTTTAATCCTGGATACAGCGTTTGGACTCTGGACAATAATAAATGATACAAAAATTAGCATTGAAAATAAAAATTAAGACGAAGATGATGTAAACTTACAAGCATCAAAGCAGCTCTTGAGGGAATAAATTTCCTTTTGCTGACAGGTTTAACAGTTGCTCTCATCGAAGAAAAAGGGCGAACAGATGACTGAGCTGAATAATTTGTAGAAGATTTGATGGCACCATAATTACCAATTACTAAAGATGACAACAATCTATTTGAAGAGCTTCGAAACATTTTCAGGATAAATTGAACAACAAAAATCTGAGGGTTACCGTAGGTTGTTACAGCAACTGCGAAATAACCCTGTCAAATCAAAGGAGAATGAAAGGAGGGAGAATTGAAATGAAGACCGGTATTTATTTGCATTAAAAAACTCGAGACGTAATTTAGGTAATCAAGGATCAGGAATTTACAATTTTACACCGATTCTTCCTGGTAATTTAACCTGGGTTTGATGTATACTCCAATGGGATTATACTTTTGGCAATCAAGGAACAACTAACACTGGGAATGAAACTTTCAGAGCTTGTGCTGGTATCAGGATAAACAAGAGAGACGATGATGAGATGAACAATGAAATTGAGTTGACAGAGGAACCAAGGACAATCAAATATACTTTCAGTGCTGAATGCGGAGCCAAAGAAACTGAAAAACACAATTTCGAGGATTATGAATGATTATTTTATTGACTTCGCCTGGTCGGAAAAGGACAAAGAGGCATCAAGGGGGAGTCATTAGCGTCAAATGATTGTTTTAACTGTAAAATTTCGTGATTTCCCCCTTTAGTTCACCTAGATGGCAGTGTAACGCAAAGACAAAAAACTCAAGATTTTACTGTAATTTTATTTCTTTTAATTAACTTTTAATTTACTTGATAATGGAATAAAAGTGATTAAGTAAATTTTAAAAAATCAATTTTTGTGTGACTGAGTTAATAAGAAAAATAATCGTCCGTACATCAATGAAACCTACCCTGCAACCTTTCAACTTTAAACATCTCTTCTCCTCACTGTTGTCACATTTGTTTTCTCAACCAGTTTTTAAAATTGTCTTTGTGTTCACTTTTTTGACTTAAATTTTTCTTTTGCAATTAAATTGTAATTCAACCCATACTTCATTGTGTTGATTCAATATCAATAGTGCTTCATTCCATTTGGATTATTGACCATCACTAAAGTAAAATAGTGTGTTGCCAGCTCTATTCTCACCTAATTTGATCTTTTTATAACCATCGATCGCCAATCGTTTAATCACAGTTGTGTGAGTGTTTACATGTAAAATACTGTATTTATTTATTAATCCATGGTTTATTTTGAGCGTCTATGCTTACAGTGTGAAATACACGGATTGTGACACTCAATGTAATCCTGGTTTTACATCTTCTGACCAGTTTTTAACGCCTTCTGTTTAAAATTAAGTGCTTTTCGATTCAAGATCAACTCTTGATCAACCTTCATGGTCTCTTAGTGCATTAAAATCTAGTCTGACAAAAAATACAAATGTACCACGAATCAATCAAAGCCAAATTCACTTTGGAGGATTTCATCGCTAGTCATAAACAAATTTTAAGTGAGAAAGAAGGAAACCTCAAATTTCTCAAACGTGCTTTAGCTGATCTCAATTTAAATCATTATTCGATTCCACTGCCATTGTCTATATTTAAACATGTAAGTTAATAAATTTACTTGTTTCTAATCAATATTTAAATTTACCAAATACAGTATTACCTCGTTGAAAAAATCTTTGCCGCCAAAAAAATGCTTTCACCCTTCAATTTCGCTCCAATTTTAAAATCCAACCGCCATATTTAATCAAATTGGTGTTTATTAATTGCTTCAAGCAAAATGTTTGAGCCTTTTGACTCATCTGACTCGATAAGAATTACAGTGAAAAAGACACAAAAGATTGGACAAAAGGTGAAAGGTAATAAAAATCCAATTGGACAAATCGATAGAGTCCAAGTGAATTTGTATTTATTTAGATATTATTATTTAATAGCTTATTAATGAAAAAGATACTGATTCAAGATATCGAATAAATTAGACAAAATTTGATAGCTTATTCCAATATCATGTTGAAATGAACTCTTCAACTCTAGCTTTCAAGCTCTACCTGAAAGGCAAGCTTAAGCTTCATACATTAGCTAAAAAGTATGAATCATTGTTTTGATGTTACCTAAGCGCTTCACCACAGTAACCACGTTTGTCATTGCTAGTAAAATCATTATCATTGGTATATGTAAAGGAGAGGGACAAATATGATGGGATTATGTACACAGGTTTAACAGACAATAATCAATGCCCAATCCATCGAAATTAACAGTAGAAAAGTAAATATTAATTTCCAATACTGATCCTTTTTTGTTTACAGCAATTTTCACCGAGCGATTTTTGATTACAGGGCAATTTTATTCCTATTTACCCTCTGTGATTTAAATTAATTCGATTTCAATTTTCCACTCATGCATAAATTGGCCATTTTCAGGGATAAAATTTATTTCTATCGATATTTTAAAAACTACATTTTAAACAATATTGATGTTGTTTCTTGTTGAAAAGTGTTTCTTTACCTTTCACCACTTTTTATGGTTCCTTATCGATTCAATTCATTGTATCATTCCATTGTATTCCTTATATCGTGTATTTTTTGTTTACCATTCATTAGTTTTTGAAATCGCTATATTCAGCTTATTGTCCAACTTGCAATCGTGATATTAATTTTGATTAAAATGCATATATTGATCAAACTCTCACTGAATATTTGCATAATCGATATGAATCTTTTTTTCACTAAAACATTGAAATTTTGTGATAAAACTGTCAATAGATTATCATAAATTGACTATTTAGGTGACAATTTAGTTTGTTTTGTCAAATATTGAGATATTAGTGTCCATCAGAAGCCAATTGCCATTTAGATTCAATTTTAATGGTTACTTTATCCAAAGCAATCCAATGTTTCATATTGATTTGAAGTAGCAAAAATTCCCAGAATTAATGCGAACACATTTCTTCGGAATTGACTTCCAATTCAAAGAAAAACCAAAAATTAGGTTGAAACTGAGCTGATCCATTAAGTATTACCAATGTTGGTGGGTCAATTAGCAAAATCATGATAACAATAATAATGGCAAAGTGGCCATCAGAGTTGCTTTCTATCGTATTTGATTTATATTTTCATTTCTTCATATCAATAATCAATCCTCATCAATTTAACCATTGTAAATCCTATTGATCAACTGTAACCGTTTCTCATTGTCCTTAACTCAAGGGTTACAGGATTCATGGAGACTTTTTTTGCATAACTTTTTGTCCTTTTCCTCATTTTTCTGTTACATTTTCATTTAACCAACTTATTATTGTTTGTATTGTTAAGGTAAATACCAATTTATCAATAAATACTTACTTCAATAGTCAACCTAGTTCCTAGCTTATTGATTTTAAATTGTTGTTTCACTTGTCCAGTCAATTTGCTTGACATTTCCGCCTTTCCCAATGATTTTGGTCACTAATTTGACCTGATCAGTTCACATTGCGCTACTCATTTGATTTAGTTTAGTTTAACCAATCACATCATAAATAAATATACTCACATCAACCATTCCAACTCCTTTACAATCTGTCAATAATATTTTTTTAACATCATCATTGATATCTTTTTTTGGTCAGTAATTTTCAACTCTAAAAACATTGAACATTTTAAATTTATTTCAACTTTATTCCTTTCTCAATTAACCATAATGGTAATAATTTGCTAATAAGTATCATGATTTAAGTGTAACTCTTATTCATTTATTTGGCCTTTTTTTGTTATATTTCTGTGTTTATTAGACTTCCAAAGAACTGAACGATCCCAGCGATGAAGAAGCTCCAGATGATCCTGATCAAGTTAAACTTACCAAGGTATTTCTGGAGTCAATTGTGATTATTGTGATTAATCTTCAATTATTTTTTTCTTTCCACTCGAAGGCTCCAACTCCTGATTACGATGAATCGAGCTATTTTTTGAGCAAATTAGGAGAACACGAGGAACAGAGGCGAAGATATGCTGAAGAGCGTCGTAAAGAGTACAATGAATACCTTAAAGAGGTGATTGAAAAGCAAAGGATTTATTTTAAAATGTTTTTCCTCAAAGGATATTATTGATTACAGTCTTAAGCATTTAGTTTGTCACAACTCTAACAGCAAAGTGTTTTACTAATTTAGATTTGTTTGTTTCTCAGGTTTTGAATGATCTTCTAGCTGAATGGCTTTAATTATAAAATTGTGGTTGTGACAAATTGCATTGCATTGTTTATAGTTTGGTTTGGTTTTTGTTTTTACTAATATATTGACTTTTCTGGTTTAGGCCAAGTTTGCAACATCACGGATTAAACTGTTGGAAAGGAAGGCCGAAGCTGCTCGAATGGGCTCTCCACTTCGTAGTTATGCTGAACTGTTGGATGAGAAACGTGCAAATGAAAAGGCTTACCGTTCAATGAATGACCATCATATAACTACCGAAGGCACTTCCTATGAGCCAGATTTTTTCGGTTACCAAGCTAAGCGTCATCGAGACTCTGGATTTGATATACTCAATTGGCAATCAAAGTATCCAGGCAATGATGTAGAACCTCTTGTACCAAAGTACTGTACTTGACTTGAAATTGAAAATATTACCATTAAAAATTATATGAAAAAGCTTATTAAAAAGCAAACAGTTAACCACTGTTTTATCACAATTGATTGGTTTTTTATTTGTCCGCATTTTAATTTTTGTATTTTTTTTCTTTTGCTTCCTTTTTTTCTCAAGGAATCGGTTATTAGCAACTCATTCAAGTCGTGTTAAAGCTTGCCAGTACAAAGAAGAGCTAATGAAACAAATTGAAGACAAACATCGACGGGAAGAGGAAAGATTAAGACGTGAGAAGGAAGAAGAACTTTTGATTGAAAAACGATTAAACGAACAACGATTGCGACTCTTGAAAGAGTATGAAGATGAACAACGTCAACAAAAGATGAAGGCCGATTCCCTTGCCCGTAAACAAGAGATTATTAAAGAAATGATTTCTGGTAAAAAAACTGTCGACAGATCAAGTGTTAGTGATCGAAATGAAGCTACACAAACTAGTCCTGTTAAGCCTGATCGTAAACCTGTTACACCAGTCAAACCAAAATTACCACGAAGTCCTAGCTATCTTCATGTTCGCCATCCTAAATCACCTGGTAATCGAAAGTCTCGTCTCTCCCTGGAATCACGATTGATTCAAGAGGAAATAAATGCAATGACTAGTCCAACCTCCATTCGAACCTCTGTTAGGCCTGGCAAAGGTTTGAAAAGTCCTTTGAAAAACGGTCTTGGAGGAGATGAAATTCAGTCCAGTGAGCCTGCCAAATATCAACCTCCTGATCCAGTTGAACTGGAAAAAGTCAACTTTTCTGCTGAAATTGAAAGTAATAAAAATGCTGATTTAAAAGGTAACGATGCTTTTATAGTCGGTTGTGAAAGTATTTTGAAGCTATTTATTTTTATAATTTAAATTAATTCTAATTATCACATTTTTTTCTTGCACTAGGTGATCGTGTACTGGCCAGATTGTCCGAAGTTAGGAAGAAGATGCAAGAAGATCATCAAAGAATGCTTCAACAATTGAAAGATAATAGTTAGAAGAATCATTTGGTACTTTAATTTAATTTGATTATTTATTCAAAGTAAAACTTCAAAGTAATTTGTATTGTTTTTGTCAAATGGTTTTTGCCTTCATTTTATATCAGTGTAAATCTTTTCTATCTTTTGTAATTTTATTTAATAAAACACTTGCTGTACCTTTTAATTTTTAGTTAAATAATGTTCGATTGTCATTCGGTTTGTAAGCTTGTCATTTTTATTTATGAATTAGGATGTGCATAGGCATGGTCGATTCATGGTTAAAATGATAAACATTAACATCTAAAAAATGTTGAAAAAGTGTTGAATTCTTGTAAACTTAAAAAGTATCTAATTAAAAAAGGAAACAGTTTTGTTACATGGAATGTTGGATGGAATCTTTTCAAGAATCTTATGCTCGAGCCAATTTAACTTGCTGAATTTGAGAATAATCGCTAGCAATTGAAGCAAAAGCGTCTCGGACTTGTACATCAGCAGATTGACTGTTGTCCTGAACTTGAACTGTAGCGACTGGTTGGCGATTTGAGACGATTACTTGAGCTGGTTGAGGTCGGTTGACAACAAGGGTTGGTCTTGGTTGTTGAACGGTAACAACAGGTGCGGGTTGAGAAATTTGAACAGTTTCAAATCTGTTCTGGACTGGTCCAGGGAATCCTGAAGATTGTGAGCCTGAAGATACTTGATTGAATGGTTGTAATGGGAGTGGAGCAACTAATCGAGGGACTACAGGCTGTCTAAAGACTGGACGAGGTTGTGAAACTGTCTTGAATGATTCAATGTTGACAAGAGGAGCGACTGGGGCAACAGGAATTTGAACTCTTCTCTCTTCATTTAAGATTTCTTTGACTTGTTGGAGTTGCTGTTGTTGTTGTTGCTGTGCCTGTTGTTGTTGTTGACGCTGTTGTTGCTGTTGTTGGATTTGCTGGAGTTGCTGTTGCTGTTGCTGTTGTCGTTGCTGTAATTGTTCTCGTTGTTCTTGTTGTCGTTGTTGAAGTTGTTGTTGCTGCTGTTGTCGTTGTTGTTGAATTAGTTGCTGTTCTCGTTGTTCTTGTTGTCGTTGTTGTTGAAGTTGTTGCTGTTCTCGCTGTTGCTGTTCTCGTTGTTGTTGAAGTTGTTGTTGTTGCTGTTGTTGTTGGATGATGTTTACTTGAGCCTGAACTGCTTGTTGTTGGGCAAGTGAAGCTTCTTTTTCTTGGGAAATTTGAACGACAGGTCGACTTTCTGGGAGGGTAGCAGGTACTAATCGAGGTCTAACTGAGACAACTGGTTGAGGTCTTGCTTGGTCGAACGAGAATCGAGGGAAACTTGGTTCTCTAAGTCTGAGGATTTCAAAAGGCTGTGGAGCTGGTTGGAAATCATCAACAGGTCTTGGCTGAGAAATTTGCTGAACTCCTAAATTACCTTGAGAGGTAATTGGAACAGCGGTTTCTCGAATTTGAACTGTCTCAACTGATGGTTGTACTTGTCGAACCTGACTAACTTGGCTAACTTGAGATACTTGTACTTGTGGTTGAGCTGGTTGACGGATAAAAACTTCTCGTGGGGCTACAGATTCTCTGTCCTGTGAAAGCTGTCCTTGAGCAGATGCTTGAGGGATTGATGGACGAAGTGATGGGTCAAGAGGTTGGAAGACGTTTAAGCCTGAATCTTCAAATTGAGATACTTGAGATACTTGGGTCAAAGGTCTTGGTTCAAAAACACGGATTTGAGGTTGAGGAGAGGGGGCAACTGGGACTAATCGAGGTTGGGAGATTTGAACTGTTTGGAAATCTGAAACAGCTGACTCTCGGACTTGAGTAACTTGGGTAACGGGTCTAATAGTGGGAGCTGGAGTGTTTCTTACTTGTTGTACGATTTGAACTGGTCTGGGTGGAGAGGGGAGTGAAAGTTCTGCGGGTAAAGCTCCAGAGTCTCTAATTTGAACAATTTGTTGAGGTTGGGGTTGAGGGTTGAATCGTAAGACTGGCTGAACTGAAGCTACTGACTGTGAACCTGTGTTAATCTTTTCTTGAACATTTGTTTGGAATACAGGTCTAACTGGGGATGGTCCTGTGGTTCGGATGAGAACTGGTCTAGCGCCACTTGGGTTTGAAGCGGTACCATCTTCATCAACAAAATTTACAGTTGGGGTTATTCTTTGAACGGTTGGAAGTCGAGGTTGGAATCTAGATGGAGCAATTGATCCTGAACCTTTAATAGCTGAAACAGATTGTGAACCGGAGGCTGAGCCTGAACTAACGGCGATAGGAGGTTGGAATGGAGTTGGAGCAACTTGGGTGAAAATGGTTTGTCGGGCTGGTACTGGTTGAGGTCGGGCAACAAATGTTGATTTGATTGTGTTAACTTTTCCATTTGAAACGGCTGGACTAATGTCAGCAGATGATTCTGGTCGGAATGATCGAGATGGAAGAGGAACCAAGTAGGGTTGAGGAGCAATTCGAACAGGTACTTGTGTTGGTCTGTTGATCTTAACAAGATCTGGTTGTGATAAGTCAACAGCATTTCCATTGTTTCCGTCAAAATCATCTTCATCTTGAGAAGTCAACTTTTGATCAGCATAAATAACTTGAGCTGGTTGTCGGATTGGTTGGACTAAAGTTCGAGTTGGATTGAAACGTGGAACTGGAGCTAACCGGCCTGTTAAGGAAGATAAGAAAATAACTTGTAAATATTGAAACATACAACTTTAGCATGATTAATGAGTATGATGATTACCTGATGAGAGACCAGCAAATTGGTTAGTAACAACAGTCTTTACTCCAGACAATTGACCTCGAGATGGACCAGAGGAAGCAGAAGCAGAATCATCTTCATCATCTTCATCAACAGCTGGGGCTACTGGACGTTGATTTGAAATCACTCGTAGTCTTGGTGGTTGAAGATTTGAGTTTCCACTGACTTGAACAGTTTTAACGCCTCCAGAGACAATTTGGTTTGGTCCGGCAGAGCCTGAACTGATTGGAGTGGCAATTGATACAGGTAATGGTGAAGGAGCAACTGGTTGAACTGGAGTCACAAATGTTGGTCGTTGTTGAACCAAAACTGGTCCAACTACTCGAGTTACTGATGGTCTTATTTGAGATGACTTGACACCTCCGTTCAAGTTAGCTAATGAAGCTTCAGATTGATCAACAGCAACTGGTCCTGGACGAACAACTCGAGCAGTTTTAACGACTCGGACGGTTTTGGTTCCATCATTTGATCTAAGAGGGAAGAATCGATCTCCGCCGAGTGAACCAGATGAACCAAGGTTTGTCTTACCTACAACTGTAATAGGAGCAACTGGTGCTGGGATGGCAACTGGTCGTGGTGGAGCTGGAAGTGGAGCTATGAATGTGTTATCTTGTTTGCTGGGGAATCTTGGTAAACCTAATCTACCAGAACTTGATACAGATTGCCCTTTAGTGCCGGATGGGCCTACATTGACTGGGGATAAGGAACCAGAATTTTCGTTCTGTGGAGCTTGATTTTCATCAAAGTCGTCCTCGTTGTTATCGTCATTTCGTCCAGTTCGGGCTGGTAAAGGGTTAGTTTTGCCACGAGAAGAGGCACTGTTGTCATCATCATATTCGAAGTCTTCCTTAGCATTCAAAGATGATTGTCTTCGGGCTTCAAACCTTGGTAAAGATTCAACTGGACCTAAATATTTATTGAAACAGAAGATTAGATTGATTGCCTCAAAAATTAAAGTGTTTGTTTATGAAATACAAAATTTAGACAAAAGTTTGATACAAAATATTAACATTTCTTTTGATAATGACTCTAATAGGCTTACAATCAATGAATAAATTCATTTACAAACAAAATTCAATTGTTGCTTTCAGAATAGATCACAAACGCCGATTCTGGTTCAACAAAGGATTCAACCCATTGCTGGGAAAGAGTTAATAGCAAACAGGAAACAATCAAAGACCTAATAGTCTCAAATAGGATTGAATTTGTGCAAAAAGTAAAAAAATGAATTAAATGGCTAAAAATGAATGGAAAAGCGAATCAACAATATTAATTTTTTAGATGTTTACTTTAACCAAATCGCTGTTTCAAGGTATGAAATTGATTCAACAAAAGGATTTTCCCAAAGATGATACTATAAACATGTATTTTAGTGACAAAAGACCGGATTTTCAGTCAATGATTTGTTTTGATTGTCGATTACCCTCAAATTGAGACTTTAACATATATCAATTGAAATTCAACTAGAATCCACCTTATATCATCTAATAGTTTGGGAGTGTGGAAAACGAAACAAACAAAAGTCAAAAGGCAGCCCCAGCAAGGATATCCGAAGGCTACTCCTGATTTTATATTTAATCTCATCTCATATTTAACAGACTACTTCATTACACTAACAGAGAAATAATGAAATTGGTTTGGAAAAGGATTCAGATGTAAGCCTAATCAGTGGATAAATTGTTTTAGTTTTGATTTTTTTGTCGTCTTCATTTCGTTCTTCATCTATTAATACTTTACAAAAATGTATTTTACTTTGGTTTCTTCACTTGATTTTTGCCTGATTTCTAGTTTATTTTTCAACTTCTACTGTATTACAGCTCATGTCAGTCCACCTAAAGTTCGTTATCCAATAAAACCGATAGACTCTGGAACTAACGTAAACCAAGCTCAGTTCAATGATGTTCAAAATGTTAAAAGTGATTGGATCAAAGTAGTTGAAGCCAACAAAGGGAATCGCTTTGGATCAAATTATTACCCATCTCAGCTTCCACCCTTTCCTCCTCTACCACCACCATTGCCCCTACCAGCGAGTTCATCTCGTCTCTTATCTTCAGCTTCTTCTCATCAAAGTTTACCGATTTACTCAACAAGTGATAATCAGAATAATCTTGATCCATCTGGCCTTAAGCTACACCCTCAAGTATCAAGCTCATCGTTATCATCTTCAACTTGGTCAAAGGTTTATCCGTCAGGTCAATCAGGCTCAGTTATTTGGCCTAACCAAGTTAATGGTCAACATTATGCCCGTAAACTATGATTTACTTTCAGGTGAACTTGTTATTTTTTGTTGTTTTTTTACACTTTTTTTCCTCCACAGAAAAAGATAAACATTCAAAAGTCTGAATCAACTAATATTTTGATGCTAATAGTCACTCAATGTATCTAGCATTAAACACTATCAAACAGATCATTTCAAAATTACTTTATGGTGATCGGAAGAGGTCAAGCTATTTGTTCAACAATATTTTTTTCATAAATTACATTAAAAATGTGAATCAATACAAGATGGTTTCTTTTACTTACCTAAATAATCTTCATCTTGAGCGATAGCTAATTGGAATGATTGAATCAGTAGTAAGGTGCAAATAATCTGGATCCGAAATGAGAGCAATTAGAAAGTCAATTAATTAAGGTTTCCAAAACTTAGTCGAACTGTTTAAGATGGACAAATCCTTTTCTTCAAGTCTAAACTCACCTTTGTAAAAAACATCTTTACTTTTGAATCTCTAACAGCAAAAAGATGATAAAAATTCACGGTAAACAATTTAAAAACTATAGCTTGTTAACAGTAATCCGTTGATAAAACAGGTAAAGATGATTGAATAACAAACAAATTGAAATGTGACTTTAAATCCTGTACGAACTGCAAACCACAAAATGAATGGATTAATCCGGAGACGAAAAAACTAAACTCTAAAGTGAAACTGGCCAAAGCCAATATTGATTCACTTTCTGATTGTAATCAGAAATGTAATTTAATTTAAATAGTTGGGGCCCATTTTAAACTTATAACCGATTAACTGGACATTTCACTGGAAACCTCCTTCAATAAGATCACTCAGTATTGCGAACCTTTCCTCCTCCCAATTAACCCTCCTTTCAATTAAAACACACACACACATACAGTTTTTAACCTTGATTTTTTTGTTTTTCACTTTCACTAATCATGATCATGATTATGATAATCGTCTTGAAATCATCTTCACTTTCGCCTTTTCCTTCTTTTTTAAGCCATCAAAAAACAGTTTAAAGACGCCATGATGGGTGAGCTGAATTTCAAAGTATCCAAAATCAGATTCAATCCTTCGATTCAAGATTTTGTTCAAAGGCGGGGATAAACCATCTTTACCATTACACCTTATTGAATTAACTTCCTTGGCATCATCATCATTATCCTCATGTCTTCGTCTTCATTATTCTCGTCGTTTTTTACTGATTAACTGGGTCGCCATATTGAATCATTTATTTTATTTTATCTTGGTCGTTACTGTCATCTTCGTAATCATCTTTCTCCTCGTTTTCTTGCCTTCCTTTTGCTTTTTGCTGTTTCTTTTTCATCTTCTTCTTGCAGGGCTTTCCAGTTTTTTTAATCAAATCATGAATCAATCATATTCCTCCTTGGACCAGATAACAACAGAATTCAATACAAACTGGTGCAATATGACATTTAGATTTTTGTACTTTTGCTCTTTTTTTCTGCTCCTCATTTGCAGTCCATAATGTCTTCTTATCGGCTCAGTATGTTAATTTAATAATCTTGACAAGCTAATAACTTCATTGCTTGATTGCCGTAACGGCGAGTCGATTAATTAAAACTGTAAGTGCATCAGTCCTTGGTTACTTTCATTGCATTTTTGCCATTTCCATATCCAATGAAATCTTCTGTTCATATTCTCTGGCCTCATGGAAACCATATTTACACGGCCAACCCTTGACTAGACTTTTCATCAATGTTATATTTGGGACTTTCCTAGTAAAAGATAAAAGAAAACAAAAAAATTAGAAAAATGTATTGATTTAGTAAATTTTAAATCTTAAACAATAAAATTGGAAATCAAAATTGAAACCAAGTTGGAACCATTACTTTATTTGAACATGACTTCCATATTTAAACTTTATCAATTGAACCTTTTTAATAACCATTTAACGAGATAGCCAGAAGACCAACAACCAATTGATTAGTGCAACAATACAGTTTACCTTCCTAATTGATCCTAAAGCAGTGTAATCTTATTAACACTTATTTACCGTTCAGCCTTCGGGCAGAAATGCAGTTTTTTGGCCTGACAGAAAGATTCAATATTTACTGTAGATGATGATCCAAGTACCACTTGGATTATCCTTGATTTATAACAATTAAATCTAAAATTCTATGAATTCAATACATGGTTAATGGTTGAGTTTAAATCAAAAGATTTGCTAATTTCGTGAAGGATATCCAATCATGATGAATAAACACAATAACCTTTTCAAGAAACATTCATTGCTATTCATTGAATTGATTGCGTTTCAAAGACAAGTAGTTTGCTCAATTGATTGAAAGGTCTCAGTTAGAGGCAATTACCGAAAAGATGGGGATTAAGTCACAAATGACGAACCCAAGACGTACCTTACTCGATGGAAGTACAGTATAAAAAAATCAAGGAGAAGGCGCATTTGGCGATTAGCAGACTGGTTAAACATTGAAGAGCAACTAATTTTAATCACAGCCATCATTACTATCAGCATCATCATTGCCAATATTTGCTTCCTTTTTTATTAATTGAAAGAAGGCTCGATTCAAATCGTAAATTCAATAAAACCAAGGTCGGTTTTCCCATAGCTAGTAAATTGAAATTTTTTGTTCACTGGTGAGATCCAATCCATAAACTCGTCCTTTTTTGTTCATTAAGTGTTTTAATTAAACATCTTCAGTCTCCATTCTTCAAGTTCAGTCTTCTAATCCTGTGCATGTAAGACACAAATCATAGTAAACATTTTAACTCACTTGATTAATAGTTTGAAGATTATAATCAGTAGATCGCCTTCGAGACACTACTTAACTTTCATTTATCTTCCTTCTTCTCATACAAATATTATATAATAATATTGAATAAACTCACTTGTAAGGGATATTTGTTTCTCATTAAAGGCCTCGATTGTCCTGAACCTCTCGATTTAAAAGCCACTTTCAATAAATCATTATAATAATCACTGTCAATCCATATTGTCCTTTAAGGTCAGGAAAAAGAACCGGTCGCTTGAATATTCCAAATGTTACAAAAATACAACATTACTTGTAATAAACTGAAATCCTTTAATGATCAGAAAACTAAGATTCTTGGGATTCACTTGAATTAAATTGATGAACGATAATCTATTAAGGATAAAAAGGTAAAAATTCATTGACTATTAAATCACAGCTAAAATAATTAAAAGTTTATAATTATAATAACATAGAGTTGGCGCGTTAACTTAACGGTCAATATTCAAACTCAGCCATTGAACACAATGGCGGATCATTTGAATAGACATTTTCCATTCAATCAAAATTAATTTAAAAACTAAATCGTTTCGTTTTTTAATTAAACTTGAATTATTTCCATTGGATTAATTCACATTCCAGCTTCAGGGTAATACAATATGTATTGAAAAAACATCGATTCAAAGACTCATTGCATCCTACACTCAAAATGAACACTCCAAAGACTTCAGTATCTAATTTTGATTCAGCTGTTAAAACTAATTGACAGCTTGAACTGGTTTCGATAAAATATTGATAAATGATTACAATGTTATTAATAATATAAAACTAACATTCAATAAAAGAGTTAAATAAGCAATAAATTAGAGTCAAATTGATAATAATAATAGCTGCTAAGATGATAGATATCAGTTTGTTTTTGTTGGTTTGTAAGTAAGCTTTAAACACCAGCTAATCATATCAATTACGATTAGTATTGAACATTAAATGTTAATCACTGGTTATTAGATTATTCAGTAAATGTCCATTTATGGTTTATGAGGTTGTTTTAATCATATCAATGACAACAAACATAACCAACTAATGAATTCACTTTCTTCTAATTGTCTTCACCTTGCTTTCATTTTCCTCAACTTATAATGCATTTTAAACACGTAAAATCTGTTCCATTTGATTTAAAATTTATGAATAGTGATGATGACCAGTTAAAATGACATTTAATCATATTAATGATGATTGAAATTTACATTTCATTGCGAAAGTGCAAAAATTTAAAAAAAAATCAGTAGCACTCATTTATTCAATTGCCCTTCATCTAGATTTGCATGTATTAGTATTATTTGTTATCGTATTCATTGGGCAATTTAACCAATTTATTCAATCTTCAATAAACCTGAGCAACCAGCTAATGTAATAGTCGACATTATTTAATCTCGAAATGATGATATCATTGAAACTGAAACGTTTTATTTAATTATTCACAATTTCGGTGAGTTGATTACTTTGATTGAATGCATTTCCAATGAAGCTGATGATTTTATTAAACTGGAAATTAAGTAATTATGAGATATAGCTTTTCTCTAGGTTTTTATTATATTCACTGTATCATGATAATCTGGAAGTAAGCTTTAATATACAGAAGGCGCATATTTTTGAAAACAAATCAACTCTGCGTGTAACAATTAATATACAAGCTTGGTTATTTGATGCACTTTTGATGCGCAATTTGATTGATTTGAAGCTGTCAAGATGAGCCAAAGTGATCCAAGGTTAACTTTCATATTAGAATAAATTGTGTGTTTTACTGCGAAAAACGGTCTGTCAACCTTTAATGAATTCGAGATTAATGTTGCTTAAGCTTTCGTTTATTTTGTTTTTTTTGTTGCTCCTATCATGACGATCAACGATTATGGTTACCAACATTGATGATGAGCTTGATTTGGTGAAGCTTAAATCGAGAAAAGGAATCCAAATTGTTCCTCCAGGCAATTTACGTGTGTATAATAAAAGCCTCGTAAATCTTTTTGTTTTCCCTTAATCGTGGACAGTTCTGGTTTGGTTATCAAATTAAATTGCACCATCGGATTAATTACATAAATACTTTTGAACTTATATCAATGTATTAAATTAAATGCAACTTTTACTTGAACATTAAGATAAATGGTAAACTAATATCTTTATCTGGCTGGATCATAATACAAAATGTTCAAGAGGCTGCTAGAATAGATTCATTAAGAAGATGAAAACGTGCTTTCGAGTCCGTTATCCTGAAATAACAAAAAGCAAAATTGTCAATATTAGAATCAGAAATATTATATTTTCGTATTCGATGAAAACAAATCACAACGTAATAGTTTCTTTCCTTGTTTTCATCGGTTAGAGATTAAATCATCTGTAACAATTGTACAGGGATTTTATATGACTTACCTTATTTGTTTTACGAGTATCAATCACTAAAGGTTCCGCTTTGTAAAAATTCTGGATAACCGCTTGTCTTCGTAACATTTGCAAATTACTCTCTGCTTCTCCAATCAGTTGGGATACTCGAGATGGATCGTTGCAATTTATATTTTTGCGAAAATCATGACGCACTTTTCTAAGTGAATACTCTTTGAAATTGTAATTATGAAATTTAGTTGATTCTCGAAGTAACATTTTATAAAGAGATCGAACTTTAGATGGTGTATGGGATGACATTACGATTAGATTAAATTTAAACGAAGGCGACTTAAAATGTACTTAAACTTAATATCTCAAATTAGAAAGAAAACAATGTTTATAGTTGAAATATGGTCGTTGAGGTTATCTTATTATTGTTGGGTTCGATTAGATCGAAATTTAATAGCTTTGATTTAATTCAGTTGACACAAAAACTAAATCTAACAATAAATTATAATATGAATTAAGAATTAAAAGTTACTAGAAAGAGTCATGCAAATACGCACATTAACAGCTGCTGATCAAATTCCTGAAGAAACCCATGTTGATAACGCAATGTCGATACTATCGATTATTATAATGTTAATTTTATTTCAAAATATTTAATTAGCATTTATTAACACTATTAATGCTTCGATTGGGTGCAGTTATTGAAAAATCGAAGATCTCTTCTATCGTCTCAGCTTAAATTTTGAATATTTTGGAACTCGGAAGTGATATTGTATTTATGTTGGGAAGATGATGGAAAAGCTGATTAACCTGACCAGATCGTCATCATCGTGATCAGTTGATTGTTGGAAGTTGGCCATTGATTACTGTCTATTTATTGCTTTTCTTCATCTACACAAATCTACGCTTTTTGAATCAATGAGATGGTTAATATCATTGATTAATAAAGACAATGGATATCCTATTAAATCATCTCTTATTCCTGGTATCAAATTGGGTAAGTTGTTGAGGAGAATAGCCATTGGTGATTTAAAATGGACTCAAGTTGCCATCCTTCATTCAATCGATGAACATTCACTTCAAACGTTGAAACTCTTGGGTCAAGCCTCTCTTAAAGATAACTTTTGCCTTACAATGGTTTCTGGTTTACCCAATCCGAATCTCTTTGAAACTCATGATGACCCTCGCACTTCATCAACAAAAGACGAATCTCTAAGCTACTTAGGAATAATTAAAACAATGGTCTCTTCAATTCCTGAAAATGTACCCATTTTGATTATTGCAAATGAACCTTCAGTTAAACATTTATTTACCAATTTGGCAGTCAATCTTGAAATTATATCGCGACACCTATTTTTATTCATATCATTACTCAGCTGTTGATTATCTTTTTACATTGTTTATCTTGGTTCAAGGGCTTCGAGTTACATGGTAAAAAAAATGTAAAGGTGAACCCGGTTTGTGTACAGCTTCAACTCAAATGTCTCATAAGGAATTTGAAACTATTTATTCAGGTGATTTACGGGTTGAAGATAATACATTTCGAGAATTAATATACAAGCTTGGTTTATTTGCGGTCTAATTGAGCATCAATCACTAAAGGTTCCGCTTTATAAAGATTTTGGATGACCACTTGTCTTTGTAACATTTGTAAATTACTCTCTGCTTCTCCAATTAGTTGGGATAACCGAGATGGATCATTGCAATTTATATTTTTGCGAAATTCATGGCGTACTTTTCTTTTTGCGTACTCTTTGAAATTGTAATTATGAAATTTACTCGATTCTCGAAGTAACATTTTATAGAGTGATCTAACTTTGACATGATGGGATGACATGTTGATCAAATCAGGCTGGAATTTAACACTGAATAAAATCACAAAACAAAACACGCATTTACAACTGCTGAGCAAAAATTGTTGTTGATAATGCAATGTCGATACTATCGATTATTGTTTATTGTAATTCAAAAATTTCTAACCATTATTGTTGTTAATGCTTGTTAACTCAAGTATTTATTGAAAACCGAATGATTTAGATGGAGATAAATAAGAAACAAAAATTATTCATTGAAAGTTTTTTATTGTCAGGAATAAAGAAATAAATTTTCAAGATAAATGAGAGGTAACGTAAAAATAGGAAATTCTGAAGTTTGATTAAATTGTAAAAAGGTTTAAATCAATTATCTCTTCTGCATTTTGGCGATTAATCGTCATCATCTTTAGAATCTTCTTTAAGATCTTTTAGATTTTTATTCATTGGTGAGCTACTTGGACTGGGGAATCTGTTGATCGAGGGCGGTGGTGGAGGTGGTGGAGTTGGTGGTCTAATCGGTGATATTGGAGACGGAGAAGGAGAAGGAGAAGGAGAAGAAGTCATTGATGTTGATGGACCACCTAGACGAGTGTAGTCATTGACATTAATCCCAGCTCTTTTCAAAGCACCAGGAGCCATGAGGTAACTTAAAATGGATAAATAGCAGAGATAGTAATTGTTGATTCGCCCAATAAATATAGTAATGAACAGAACACCAGCCAATGAACCAGATAGAACAGCTTTTTGTCGACGTTTCATCTCAATCAATTTGTGTATTCCGGTGTCAAGCAATTTAATTGGTAAAGACAGGTATCCACAAAACGCATCATAATCTAGATCTCGGGCAGGTCTAAACATACAAATTTCATTAGTTAAAACTTTTCTAATATGTTACAATTGATTCTCAAATGATAATTGATAATAACTTACCCGAAATGAGGTTCGAGTGAATGATAGATACCTGGGCCGGCAAAGTCGACAAGGACGCATAAAATTCCAACGGCAGCAGCGGTCGTGATAACAGTAGCTTTAGATATAGAAATAATCCTAATAATAAAAAAATAAAGACAGAATAAGAACAAATTCTACTTAAAGTAGATAAATTTAAAAAATAAAACACCAAAATTACCAGAATAAGATCGTAACCACAAGAAAGGTAATGACGGGGTGGAAAGGCTTTTCCCATATCATAAGTCGCCATAGTTGAGAAAAGAGGAATTTATGCTCAGACAGAGCAACCGTGAATTTAGTTTTCTGTAAAATTAAGAAGAAAAATCAGTTAATTTAATTTGTAATAAAAGATTACTTTCTTGGTTTTGATTTATGAGTAATTTTAAACTTACCCATGGAATCATGGGACCTGATGACATGATTGGTTTATCAATAATCCACAAAATCCAACGATAAGAGAAATTATAGTTTTTGTTCTGAAGCCAATCAAAATAATTTTGATAATGAGATGAATTTTCAACAATCAATCACAAGATACAAATAATTATGATGAAATTAGATGCATCATTATTAAAATGTTAACTTTCATTCTTGGTAAAATTAATCCTACTCATTGTTGCTCAAATGTTTAAACATTATTCCTTATTTTGGTTTCTAATTACAGTTTCGCATTCTTATGTTGGATGTTAGACAATAATTGATTTAATTTGTAGATTTTTGGATTTTCACATTCGGATGGAGAAATAAATTGAAACATAAACGAAAGCATTAAGACTTTTATTTAGCCACATAATTCAGAGGAAAAAAAGCGGACAGATCTTCAAGAAAATTTTATGGTTCAAAAAACTTCTGAAAACTGAAATGTAAATTTTTCGGTTATTGATGGATTCTATTTAAGTTGTCCAGAGTCTCTTAAGAACTCCTCAAAGGCATCGCAAACATCCTGGTCCCCTTCGTCTCCACATGGACCAAAGTCATAACTATTTTGGAACAAAAGTAAAATTTTATAAATAAACATTTAATCAATAATCAAAAAAGAAAATTTCAATTTATTCAGTCAAGATCCTTACCTTGGATGATGATCGTTCTGCCCATAGCTCTGGTAGTGATGATTAATATTAGATGAACTGTAGTCATTGTATGGATTATTAGCGCCGGATGCGTATGGGTTAACAATGGAACTAGATGAAGCCGGAGTTTTCCAGTTGTTAGCTCTGAACTCAACAACGTTATTAATTACATTTTTTAATGAGTCAGAGACTTGACTACGACTACTGATTCCTTTTAGACGGTCAAATATGTTATCCATTTGGTCACTCTGGTTTTTCTTGAGGTAATCTTCGAGATGCGTGCCACATAACTGAGAATAAAACAAATATATAAAATAGTGAGAAATTAAACAATAAAGATAGTTAACGACACTTACCTTTAAGATATTACATGCGCATTTAACATTGTCCGTGGTTGTATGAGACAGTAAGGTTTCGATAAGTTCTGGAAGTGCCTCAACAAGATCTGAGTCATCAATTCGAGTGGATAAATCGGCAATGAAAAGAGCAACCCCTCTCAAGTAATGTCCACCATCAGATGCCTTGGCCATTGAATCGCGTCTTGAAATTTCCCGTTGGCATCTAAAATCCCAGATAAATGGTGATATTTCTAATTTAACGTTAAAGTTCATGTTAAATTACCTCTGCAAAAGTATATCTTTGAATGAACCTTTACTGGTAATAGCTCTGAGGTTTGCGATAAGATGAACACACAGGCGAACTCCATTGTAACGAAAATTAGTATCAATTATTCCCTAGAAAGTGTACAAAACAAGAAGAGAAAAAAACGTTAATTATAAAGCACTAGATTGAAAAGAGAGGGAAAATATGTAGCACAAGAGAATTTCCAGAGCAACACAGAACATGTTGATCAAGATAAATGATTATTACCTGGTCGACTATAGTGTTAACAATGCACTGCATGATAATATCAGGATCCTCCGTTATCCAGTTATTTAGGACCTCAGTAATGTAATTGAGCTCAGTATCATACTGCGCTGGGTTCGAAGAAATTGCGTCAATAAAATCTTTCAATTCGCTGAGAGCCACGTAATCTTCAACTTCCGAGTCACTTTCTCGCACAAATTCATTTTCATTCTCAGACCATTCATTTCCATTATGGTAGGCTTTAGAGACCCTGGAAGGAGGACCTGTAGTACCAGCCATTGATGAACCGGTTCCAGAACCACCCGATCCTAAGGGTTTGTAAGAGCCCATGCCAGAAGATAACGTTGGTTGACTTGGAGTAAATCTGGGGACAAATTCTGCTGCCTCTGGATTCAGAGTCCATTTCTTTGATGCTCCACTCTTGGCTTCTATGAAAGAAATATTAAAAGTAAGAAAATATACGCATAAAAATTGAAACGCAAATTAAAATAAAAAAGAGTATTCTAAAAAGAGCAAAAAAAGCAAAAATTATTTTTAAAGGAGTCAAACAAAGAAACGTCAAGAGGCCAAGGTGACATCAGCACAAAATGACGAGATCAACGAAGGGATGAATCTCAAACAAAAAGATAATAGCAAAATGATAGCGAAATTTGATCAAAATTAAAGAATCAATAAATTTTATAAAAAGCAAACTGGCGGGGCTGATGAAAAAAAACATGTTATAATCAAAATGACAACTCAAAAGCGTATATAAGAACATAGCCTTAAATAATGTTATGCATTAAATTGACAGTTATATAAAGTATATAATCAAGTTAAATGCGTCAAAAGAGAGATCGAAAGAGGAATAATATTAATAAACTTACCTGCTTGATTGTTACTCTTTGATTGAGACATGATTTAAATTAAACCAGAAAGATTTGTAAAAAAATAAATCAACAAAACAAAGATAAAAGCTTCTGCTTTTCGTTAAATACGGGCAAATTGATCTTCTGCTTTCTGCTTTCTGCTCTCAATACATCGATAAAACTATCGATATTTGAGATCGATGTTATATAAGCGATCGATATCTTTTGCTAATGAAATATCAGTTGAAATTGAAAAGCAACCAGTTCAGTTCTTTGTTATTGACGGCTCTTCGATTATCATCAAAACAGTTTTAATTCAATTATATTTTAATCATGTCCAAAGGTATGTCTCAATCTGGTAAGACTATTTTTCTTTACTCAATTTTCAACAATTTATCATGTTTTTTTTCTTAACGGTGAATCAAGAATGTACTCTTACCTTTATCCACTTCTCACTTCCCTTTCCTATCAAAAAAAACCAGACAACTCAAATCTTTTCTTCTCCATCCTAACCCAACTGTCATTCTGAAAGCAATGATGAATTTTTCTCTGAAATTTTATTGTTCCATTACCATCCTTTCATCAGATCAGAAAATCATGACAAACCTGCCTCTAATGATTCGACTTCAATTGTTATCATTATTAATGTTGTTTAATTTTTCTCTTTTCCTTTCATTGTAATTATTTAGACAGCACCTTTTACAATGCTTCAGATGATACTTTTGATGTTTCATCTGATTCCAATCTTGCCGATTATGCCAACATGGATCCAGAGCAAAAGGCTGCTTTAGAAGAAGAATGGCGAACAGAGCTGGCAAGGGTTAGTTATTAACAGATATTAAATGTATCATCATATTTTTCTTTGAATCATTACCTTTTTGTGTACATCTTTTTTTTACTATCATTATTTAACACCTTTCATTGCTATTTATTTACACTAACATATGCTTTCTCTTTCCTTTCCTTTTTCTCTCTTTAAATAATCATATTTGCATTCGTTTTGTCAGACCGAGGAAGAAATTCAAACATTGAGACAAGTTCTTTCATCAAAATTACGCCATGCATCTGAATTGAAAAAGAAACTTGGCATCTCTGTTTGGCGAGAGTTTCGAGATGATATTGGTCAAGGGGTAAAGAGTATTCAAGAATCAACAGCGTAAGTTTTATCATTAATTCATGACAATTATTGACCCAATAAGTAAATTTCATTAGTAAGTACCATTTCGCAGAGTTATAGAATTCATTAGAGATTTCTATTCAAATTAGAAAGCAATTCATAGTCAGAAATAGTCAGAAAAGGCAGAGATAGAATATACATGCCATTTTACCTTTTTATCCTATCATTTCGTTGATAAAATTTGACACATTTTAGTGTATATGTTTTATTAAGTAATTACCTTTCAATGGTTACACTATACATCACTAACAATGTAAGCTAAAAATATCTCAAAATCTTTTGCATATGAGAATAGGACAGTCTCTGTTGATCCTTATGTGTTGAACAGTAAATGCTTTCTCGATGCAGATTAATTGTGAAAGGTTCGAATATAAATTAACGAAAAAGTAGATCAAGAACTTAACCTTTTTTTTGGCATAATCAGTAAATGGATAGCATTTTAAATGTCCATCGTATTTTATTTGCACTTTATTGTCACTTTTTCCTCATAGCTGTGTCAACTGTTATTGTCTCACTCTGCGATGATTAATTTTTTGTTTTTGAGTTGTCATTCAATTGCTAAGATTTCATTGGCAAGAGCAATTGTTTAAAATATAATCAATATTTTGTTTATCTTAACACTGGTTGATGGAAATATAATCAGCAAGCTGTTTACGTTCTAGATTCAACTCGAGGATCGGTCTTGTTTCAATGAAAATTCACGTGCATAGGGATTATCGTCTCACCAAGCTAATTGCTTGTTTAAAATGAGTCTGACAGACAGATTTCGAAAAATTAGAAACCTTTACAGCCTTAAATAGATCGTATATTCTCAATCTGTAGATGTAATTATGAACTATGCGAGATCTTGTACAAAATTAACTTATTAACCGTCAAATCCCTAAACTAATCTACTAAACCCAACGATTGAAGTAAAAAATTACGCATTAGGATTGATCAAAAACAAAAAACATCTTACTATAGAAATGGATTGCTCATTAAATATTTCATCCATAATTGTTAGAAATTATTAATTTTCCAGACAATACTCACGTTCCCGTCTAACTTGTTTATAACCATCACCATGTGAACCCACCCAAACATTCGCAATCAATGCTTCTCATCATCCGTCAATTAATAATCTATTTCATTTCTCATGCTTATCAATTCATCAGTTCTGGGTTTGGAATACTCTCAGCTCCAACCTCAGCGTATGTTCTTCAATTTATTTAATATTTTTGCATGTTTCCCCTAATCAATGTAAATGCTTTATTTGTCTTTTGTTTTCATTTATCAATTTCATTCATTTTTTTATCTCAGGAGGCTCAATCCTGTTTTTTATTGTCATTTCTTTTGTCTTTACATATTTATTTAAATCTTGTTTTGTTACACATTTCATCATATCATGCAAATCTTTTAACATCAATTTTATTCCTCCTTGATTTTCAGGTATCAAAAAACCACGGAAACAGTTAAAACAGTTGGTGAAAGGACAACATCCGTTTTAGGAAGTCTCGGTGGTAGTGTTGCTCGAAAATTAGGAGAAGTAAAAAATTCCAATGCATTCAAATCATTTGAAGAACGAGTCGTTTCAGCAACTGGAAATCTCAAGGTTAATAATAATCTTACTTCTAATGACCTCTGCCTTTTCCACCTCTTTTGCCATTGATATTTCATTCTATCTTCATTACACCAACAAAATTACCAGTGATAAAGGAAAGATGTTGCAACTTTGTTAGTGTCTAATGCTGGCCATTTTAAGAGAAACTAAAAGACAAAATGAGTAACATTAAAATGGAAGCAAACGAACAGCTCAGAAATCAAACTTGATTCAGCATCCATTTAAATTCTCATATTTAGCCACAGAATTTAAATCATGATTAGCTTAGTCACGAAATATTTCATTTTGTATTCATCAAGCATCAGAATGCTGTCTCGTCTTTCCTTTTTTCACTTTGCCTCATCATCATAGCTACACTACTGAACAAGGAGAATTTATTCCACACTTTTCTAAACTCTAATAGCAAAAGTATTACTTCAAATCATTAGGATTTCTTTTTCTTTTACTAAGTGTTTTTTTCACTGTTCATGTTGTTCTTGTTGTATATGCTCAGTCTAGTGAACTGTAAATAGTCCATAGAAATATTGTTGTGAGCAATGTTTTGCTGTAATACTTTTAATTTCCATTCCAAGTAAATTGATCATCCTTCGAGATTCATCGTTAGGAATAGTTCAAGGTGAAATAATTACTTGAAACAGAAACTCTTTTCTATCCATATTCTGATGCTCAATAATTGTAATTTCATTTTCTTCGCATTTTTAGACCAATTTAAGTGTTTATCTTTCATCTCACATTTCTGTAACCTTATTGATATATGACATAGCTATCATTAGAAAGCTTTTCAAATGTTTTCCACTTCCTATTATATTACTACTTATTCATCTCGTTTTGATTTCATTGTCACTTCAATAATCTCAAACGATGAAAATATTTGACCCATATTTGTCTCCCACAGTAAATCAATCGATAATCTGAATGAACATGTTTTTTTTCTCCACCTTCAACCTTTCTATTCCTCTCACTCATTTAATAATGATAATCTTACCCTCACTTTATACCACTTGTATTATTTTACTCTGTGCTCGAATCATATAGCCACTAAATTAAGATCTCCTCCTGTGATGGTACAAAACCGTATTCCATTATCTCTAGTAGATTGACTTGTTAAGATTTAATACCATTCTAGCATTTCATCTACATTATTCCCAACCCTCGTCATTCTCTTTTCATCCCAAACATTCTCATAATTTTTCTCATAATTGTTTCTTTTATTTTCTTCCATTATTAATCTAGGATCGAATGACCGGTTCCAGAAGTAATAGCACCAATAGTTTTGAAGATGCTCTCAACAGTGAACGAAGGACTTCACAAACAGCAACACCAGCAACTACCCCCACCATACCAGAAGATAAATCACTTTCTTAATTGATAAATCAAAAACAAAAATAATAATAATGGATTTTTCTGGATCCTGTTTGCGAATGAAAATTTCTGGGATGGATAATAAAGAAAACGAGTTTTAGATGTTTAACTATTGTTCAAGAGACAAAGATTCGGACTTCAAAAGACTCAATAATACAAAATAAAAATCGAAAGAAAAATCTGCCATCATGCATCATCACCTCACCAGTGAAAAGCATTGACAGCAAACAATTCAAAAGGCAAAAAAACAAAAAAATCACTTAATTATACACTTGCAGATAACCAGGGAATGAAAAAAAAACTACAAAATATTAATAACGATAGGTTGATACAAGAAACAGAGAAAGGTGCTTGAAAAATTGATCCCAATCAATTGATTCAGAGATTATAGGAGTTTAATTTTCACATTCATCTTTGAGTTATGAAAAGCATCAGGTAAACTTGTTTAAAACTTGATTCTGGTTTTGTTTATGATGAAAAGTCAAGTTTATTATGCACTTCAATTTGAATATACTTGTATTTAAACATATGCACTAAACAAGCAAATCTAGGGAGAAAGAAAGCGTCAGAACTCACTACACAAATAGGGCTGATTGTTAGGGATATGATAATAATTTCTGATGACGATGAAAAATAACTTGTGATTAAAGTCAACTCTGAACTTGAGCACCATTGTTAAGCTCAGTGAGACTTAAATAATATCAGAAATTGATTAACCATATTCACTCAAAATTTGGTGCTTTCTCAACATTCCTTTATTTTTATGTTAAAAATAAAGATCTAATATTCAGAGTTTTATTCAAAAAAAAGCAAACTAAAGTTATTAACCCTTAAAGATATTCATAAACAAAACTAAAAAAAGTGAACAAGGTTGTTGATTCTTTTCTATTCTTTGTGTTCTCATCATTCTTTAGAGCACATTTCTCTTATTCTTTTGTTGGGTATTTTATACTAATTTTGTTATCAATTGTTATTATTATCATCATAATGTTTAACACTCTCACACTTACATAAATTGTACACACACATCATAAATGTCTCAACAATTTGAATTTAGACTCTCGTCGAGAAAATTGTTTTACTTTGTCATTCTGTGTTTTATTTATATGTGTGTTTATGATTGTCACAATTGCTACTCATTCACATTGCTTCCACTAATTTAAATCGTCATCAACATCAACCAGGATCATTATATTTACCTACTTCGCACTTTTGAAGAAATTTATGGATTAATTAGAGATATTGGTTTCGATTAAGTTGAAAAAAAGATTCATTCTCAACCATCTGAATCTGGATTTTCATCTTTTCAGATCTCTAAACTCTACACTTTCCATCTCTTCACGAACAAATTGAGATTGGTTTTCATTTCAAACTTAAAATCTATCGATCACTATTCTTCCTTCTAATCACAATTTTTCCTCCTTTAAACTTACCTTGATTATTTGCAAATTTTGAACGAACAAATATGTTTATCGATTCTCTACTATTTAACGTTTGATTTTTCAGCTCACCGGTGTTTAAAACAATGTGTGTTGATCGTTTGCCCTTTAATCTTATTCATTCAATTCTGTTATATTTATTCAATTACTTGTCACGCCCGTGATGACAATTTATCAAATAAAGAACACGATTGGGTTTGATTTATATCAATGCTTTACTTTATTAAGATTATTCAATTTCGTGAAACATTTATTTCGCGTTGTAATGCTATTGATGGAGTATATTGTATTGTTAATATTTATTTTTTATGATTATATTGTGATTTTAATTCATGAAATTGAGTTTTTGAATCGCATAAAAATAATTGCTAGTCCGATAGTATCGATGTTTCGTTGCCATCAACGTGATTTTTGTAAAGACAAAAGTTGGTTTCCAGCTGTAGATGGATAACTTGTAGCTCTGTTTTTTATTTGTTTTATTTATTTTAGCTAATTATCTTGTTTATGGTTTGATTTTTTTTTGAGTGAAAAATAAATAAAATCCTTTCTTTAGTTGATGTTCATGAGCAGATTGTCATACATGCCTCTGTCATTTGTCTACAACAAAGATCTATCATTTTAAAGTGCTGTGTTCATCTGTCAACAACATTTTCTTAAAATTTTGTAAACACTATCTCACCAAATTTTTCATATAATATGAAGAAATCTAGAAGTGATCGGACTGAAGAAGTTGTGGTTAAAGAAATAACAACCCCGGATGGGGAAAATGATATTCTTACAATTCGCCCTTTAGGTGCTGGTCAAGAAGTAGGTAGAAGCTGTGTTCTGCTTGAATTCAAAGACAAAAAAATTCTTCTTGATTGTGGAATACATCCTGGTTTGAACGGAATCAATGCGCTTCCCTACGTTGATCTTATTGAAGCCGAGCAGCTTGATTTACTCTTGATTTCACATTTTCATCTTGACCATTGTGGAGCTCTTCCATGGTTTTTAACGAAGAAAGCTTTCAAAGGTTAGTTTCCAGATTTAATCGAAAAATTATTATTCAAGGAACATTTTTTGTAATAAATGTCTTTTTGTCTCAATGTTACAGGGAAATGCTACATGACTCATGCTACTAAAGCTATTTATCGTTGGCTACTGGCTGATTGTATCAAAGTATCAAATATTTCCAATGACCAAATGTTATACAATGAAGCTGATTTAGAAGCGTCAATGGATAAAATTGATGTCATTAACTTTCACGAAGAAAAGGAAATAAATGGGATCCGTTTTTGGTGTTATAATGCTGGACATGTTTTAGGTGCTGCTATGTTCATGATAGAAATTGCTGGAGTGAAAGTTTTGTATACTGGCGATTACTCTCGTCAAGAAGACAGACATTTGATGTCAGCTGAAATACCTGCTGTTCGTCCTGATGTCCTTATCATCGAATCTACTTATGGAACGCATATTCATGAAAACAGAGAACAGAGAGAAAATCGATTTACAAGTGTTGTTCATGACACTGTAACACGAGGTGGTAGATGTTTGATTCCTGCTTTTGCTCTTGGTCGAGCTCAAGAGTTGTTGCTTATTCTTGATGAATATTGGGCACTCCATCCAGAACTCCAGAGTATACCTATTTACTACGCTTCATCATTAGCCAAAAAATGCATGGCTGTTTATCAAACCTACATTCATGCAATGAATGAAAGAATTCGTCGTCAAATCGGTATCAATAATCCGTTTGTTTTTAAACACATCTCAAATCTTAAATCAATCGACCACTTTGAAGATGTCGGTCCTTGTGTTGTTATGGCTACTCCAGGTATGCTTCAGAGTGGATTATCGAGAGAACTATTTGAAACTTGGTGTTCCGACTCTCGTAACACTTGTATTATTGCTGGATATTGTGTTGAAGGAACACTTGCAAAGCAAATTCTTTCTGAGCCACAAGAAATAACAACTATGAATGGCCAAAAAATCCCAAGAAACTGTCAAATTGAATATATTTCATTCTCTGCTCATCCCGATTTCAACCAAACAAGTGAATTCATTCGTGCTCTTCGCCCTCCTCACATTATTCTCGTCCATGGTGAAGCGACAGAGATGCAAAGATTAAAATCAGCGTTGATTCGTGACTACGAAGACGAACCATCTCCACCAGCTGTGCATAATCCACCAAACACCGTTGGAGTCAAGCTCTATTTTCGTGGAGAGAAAATTGCCAAAGTTATGGGCACTATCGCGAAAGAACAGCCTCATCCTGGTAAACAGCTTTCTGGTATTCTTGTTAAAAGAAACTTCAATTATCACCTTTTCGATCCATCCGATTTGCACAAGTATACTGATCTCAACAAAAGTATTGTTAATCAACGCTTAAGTTTACATTTTAATGGAAATTTTTTCGAGTTAACTACGATCCTTAGTCAGTTCAAATGGGAAATAGTCGAAAGTGCAAACAACACCAAAGCAATTAAATTATTTGATCACATTAAACTGATGCACAATGGTGAAACAAATGTAATTACACTAGATTGGGTTGCTAGCCCAGTACACGACATGTATTGTGATGCTTTAATCGCCTTATTGGTCAAACATTCCACACCCAAAAAGAGCTCAGATGAAGTAAAAAATGACGATAAAAAATCAGGTCCAAATCAGAATTTCCTAATGGACGCAATCAAAGAGATGTTTTCATTGGAAAACATGCAACCTGAGTCAAGTAATGGACAAGAAAGATATGCAGCGGACGATGAAGTTTATTCATTTATGGTAGATGGATCATTAACTAAAGTCTCTTTAATCAGGAAAGAAATTATTTCATGTGAAAATGATAAAGTAAGGACCATGCTTAACAGATTATTTGGTTGCCCAGCTGCAGCGACAATTAGCTGATGACTACTCTAATTGTTTACACCGTTAGATCTCCATTTCTCCCACACATACTTCATTTGTAATTTAAAAGTAATAAACAATTTTGTATAGAAATTGAAAGTGTCAAAATTTATTTGTTATCATGTTTCACAGGTAAGATAAGACAAACAATGTAATGAAATTAAGAATTAGCAATCAACGTAATCAAATGTTTTATCCAATGGATTGAAAGTCAAAAGTAAGCAATGAAGCTGTTGACAGTTATCTCATCCGTAATAAGGATAGGATCCACTCTCTGTAATGAATCAAAATTAAGGATCTAATTGAGTAAATTAAAATTTAGATTTCAATGAATTTTCTCAAATCAGTCAAACTGTCTTACCGTAATTATCAACACTGTATTGAGAGTATCTGGAATCATCATCATAACCACCAATATTTCTCATCAATAGCTGAGCTCTTCGTTGTTCAATTGGACTTAATGGTGGAGCATAAGGGTATCGATATTGATTCATTGGAGATTGAACCATGTAAGGTGATGTTTTGCCCGAATAGTATGGATATTGTTGTTGTTGTATGTCTGCAAGTGATTGAAATTAAAGTTTGAACACAAAACATGTTTAAAGAAATAAAAACAAATTAAAAGTGATTCAATTTTAAACATGAAATGTACTTACATCGATCCGATTTGAAGCCACCTTTTTGTCCAACAACCAAACCAACAGCGAGAATGAAAGCTAAAACAAACTGAAATTGATGTAAACATTAATGTTAGTGAAAATGTTTACAAGATTTACCTGACTTACCAATGGAGCTTTGAACATCATGATGAATTGATAGTGTTTGGTTAACAATTGATTGAATATAAATTTTGATGTTGACTGTTTGGAGTAGATTATGATTATGATGAAGAGTTGACTGTTTAAATTGCCTTTTATATATGAAAAATGAAAAGCAAAACAAGGTTTGTAAACATCTTTATTTTCTTGCCAGTCCAATTGTCCTTTACCCATTGTTTTGTTCATTTATCATGTTTCACCCATTCTTTGACCACTCACCATGAATGATGGACAATTGGTTAAAATTACTTTCAAACAGTTTAGCCAAAGATGTCATCAACTACCGAAAAATTGGGCTTAACAATAGAAAAAAGTGAAAATGATTCCTAAAATCATGCTGAGTTTTACCATATCCAGGATTATCCGATAATTTGACTTCACATTGAGATTCAAGTCTCATTTGTTCCTACAAGGCCATCATTACGATTGGATAACATATTTGATGAATAAATTTTTTCCAGATTACTGTTCAGTCTTCTCATTACATGATGAAATAAGGTCAATATTGTTGCGTCTTTCGTTTGCCTTTGAAGAAACAATCAACAAACAGTTGGATTCTTGGTGTAAACCTAATCACCAAATGTAGCTGAAAACAAAATGATCATCAAATGATATTCTGAATAAACACACAAAAGAAAGTATAATCTGTTGATTACAAAAAACAGCATCTTATTAATTTCTACATGTAAACCAATCGATCTAATCAAGGTTTATTCAGATTTTTGAAAACAAAAGTAATTTGATAAATGCTTATATTCACCTTCAACTTGCCTGTAATACAATAACATTTAATGGAAAGCTTTCGATGTCTCGAAATTGTCTCATAATTCATCACTTTTCGTCATTGTCTTTACAAATTGTGAACAGTTATGATTAAGTCTCTGATTTATTTGTAAAATTTTCTGTTTTTTCTTTGGTTAACCAGTTCATTTTGTGAAAGCTTGAAACCCAATCAAGGTAAGTCATTCTTAATACTTTCATTAGTAGTTTTTTTGAAAATTTGAGGTTTGAAATTGAAATATTTGTCGATAATTTTGTTTTATTAGGTGTTCATTAAAAACACAAAAATTACCAAAATCGATACAAAACCGTGATCATACAAATTTTAATTTGTTATTAGTTAATTTATTTGCTTGAAAGTCTTTAGGCTAAAGGAGTAATTGCAAAAAATTGGATTTCAGTGCGATTTTCGGTTAAACTTGTGGCTTCGAGTGGCCGTAAGAGTTAGAGCTGAAACTTATCGTCGATAAAAATAGTTGGTACACATCAACAATTGTGCACTTTTTTCAATTCATTGCCAGTTCTCTTAATTTTGGCCATTGGCTAAAAACTTTGAGCCTCAGTATTTCGTGAATGTTAGCACCTACAGTCATCATTCTCTGACTAGATTAGATTTTATTATGTACATTCAATGCATCGGAAAGATATGAATTCTTGATGAAATAACGATCGGTAAAAAAAAATCCAAAAATTAAAATCTTTAGCTTATGTGAAATTGATAAGATTCGTCTTGAGATGAAAAACCTTTCTTTAAGCGAGCTTTCTCGTTCGAGTTTAAAGTTAACCCTTTGTTGATTGCAAGGGAATAAAATTGAGTTCATTTTTACAATTGAAAGGTTTCTCTTGTTAACAATTGGGTTCAAATTTGAAAATTTAGGTCTCCTTTTGTACAGTTGAGGCACCAGATTTTTTCAACGAACTCTTAGCTATTTACTAAAATGATTCATATTTTTCCACCTTCTTCAAGATATTATAAATTGTGGTTGAATATTTTTCAAAATTGCAATCAGTTCATGAATAATTTCGCTTTTATATTATATATTTTCTTGGTCACAATGTTACGACAAGTCTAGGTGTAATTAAGAAATTATGGTTCATACTATCAAATACAAACAAAAAAGTCAAAAGATTAAAGTATTAGTTTATAGAGGCACAATTCAGCTCATCAGGTTTCCATTGGCAAAAACATTATTTGGATCCACATAATTTTTGATTGCTTTCATCACTCCTAAACCTGTATCGGAAACTGTCTCACGTAGCCACTTTTTACGGACCTTTCCCACTCCATGGTGATGTGAAATACTTCCACCACAAGCGATAATCTCATCTCGGGCTGCATTCTCAATGGCATGATAAATGTCAACAGGATCTCCAGTTACACCTTCCAGATAGTTGAAGGCAAAATAAAAATAAACACATGCTCCACAATCATATGTTTGAGTGATACGACAAGTAATTAAAGCGGGCTTTTTGATTCCATACTTTTTCACTTGACGAGTAATACAATCTTTTACATTGTTACAAACATCTAGACATCTATCCCAAGGAACGGATGTTTCAAAAGACTCGGCAACAACACCATAATCAAGGCCGATATCCTGTGTTAGTTATAAGGGGACAAAGTAAAACAAAAAGCTCAATAAGATTAAATAAAACAAGGATCTGAGAAACGGAAATAAATACAATCATTTTTCCATCATGTTAAATTACTGTGAAATAGTATATTTACAAACCCTGATGTATGCAATAACAAAGGTTAACATGTAACCAGTTTTACCATTTTCTTCGCCAGCAGCCAGGCCATTATTTGATGCTGATATATCTAATAATTTATTCTCCAGAGTTTCAACCTCCTAATTGGGATGATAAAGAAATATTTACCAATTTAATATGATATATTAATATATTTATGTACTGAAGTTGTCACAAAATTGTTACATTCTATTGCAACAACACTGATGGTTATTATCTTCGTAATTGAAAATAAACACATAAACGTACCTCGATAGTACCCTCCATTAAAATGGTAGCCACGCACATTTCATCGACTCGAAAGCCTTTCAGTTTGGTTATGTACAATTTTTTGAAAAAATTTTTCATTGAAATCCATATTGAATCTGCTTCAGGTTTCAATGCTTGACCTGTGTAAAAAAAGAGTTAATTTTAGAAAGCAAAGTTTTTTTTTGTAATAAGATGGACTCGCAACAAATTATCAAACGCACTACAAAATTCCTTATAATAAAGTTTGTGTGAAACTCGGCATTATAGTAGCTTCAGACTACCTCATGAAGAGAGTTAATCGGAAACTGTTAGCTAATTATTATGGGTTTAAGCAACAAAAAGTGTTTGCCTGACACAATTTCCATAAGCTTTGAATTTATTGATCTGGGAAAATTAATGGCATAATGTACATCAGAGGAAAAGGATTAGGTGATTGGGAAAGGATTATAAATATTGGGCTATTGGAAGCATTTGACTTAACTAAATAAAGCAAACCAGGTAAATAAATGTAAACTTTGAACTTGGATGGGTTCTTGTTCACCTACTCACCAAAAATAAATTGTTGATTGTCCATTAAACGAACAGAAGCAGGCTTTAGCCGTTGTCGGGCAACTTCTCTCATGAATTTATAGCCATCTTCAAAACATGGAAACACAATTGAATTGTACCTTTTACATTCAGGCAAAGGTCTCACCTTAAGAGTTACTTCTGTAATGACTCCTAAAGTACCCTCTGAGCCCAATATAATGTGATGAATGTCAGGTCCAGATGAGATTCTTGGTACATTACAGTTTTTCTCTATAGTTCCAATAGAAGAAACCATCCTAACATGGATAAGTAAATCTTCAATGTTTCCATAAACATTTTTCTTCATACCAGAAGCTCGAGTAGCCACCCAACCTCCAAGAGAACTGAACTCAAATGAATCAGGCTCATGACCGGTACATAAATTATATTTTGCCAATTGTGCTTCCAAATCTTGACCAATAATTCCAGCTTCAGCATGAGCAGTTAAATTAATATGATCAATCCAAAGAATCTTATTCATTTTAGACGTATCTAAAGAGACGATCATTCTCTTCTCGTTAATCGGACACTCCAAAGCACCAGAGACACTAGTTCCTCCTCCATAGGGTATAATGACAACATCATTTTTATCGGCTACACGAACCAGTTTAACAACATCATCGTGATTTCTAGGCCAAACAACTAGATCTGGTATTCTTTCTAAGGTCCCTTTTTCTCGAAGTTTGAAAATTTCATGGAGACAATGTCCATGGGAACGGAATAAACGATCCTCCGGATCAAAAGAAGTCTTTATATTAATGAATTTAACATCTTTCATGAAAGATTCGTTAATTATGGGTTTGGCAATATTTTCTATATCAGGTTGACACTATGAATCACAGGTAAAATGAAGGAAAAATGAACACATAATTAGATACTCGAGATGACCGAATGAGATAGGATTGTGAATCAATAGGAAAACGACAGCACATCTGGTCTATTTTACTATTAATAGCAAAACTTAAGAGGTAAGAGGGAGAAATAAACAAACCTGGCTTGTCAATTTATTGCTAAGATCAACAGACAATGTTGACTCAACCCATTTCTTGAACAATGGAAGCTTCCTGTTACCGATTTTATAACGATCCCCAGTAAAGGTAATATCATGACAATTTGGATCAACTGTGAATCCAGAGTCCTTGTAGCCCCAGCCATTCCACTTGAGTAATTTATGTCTACAGAATAGAGGATTGAAAAACAAACAGATAGTAAGAAAAGAAATCTAAGCCAATTGAATAAAAATGGTGAAACAGAGGAAATTTAATTAATTGAAGTAGTCGAAATTGATAAACAGCATTGAGTTTAAATTGCAATCAAGTTTAAAAACAATTAGATTTTAAGTAAGGTAAAAAGAAGGGGAAAAACAAATTTTTACCTCTTGTAGGGCAATGAACCGTTTTCATTGGTATCTTTTCCTGGTATTGGTTTCGACTTTTCTAACTGGATGGAGTTATTAGTGGCGATTGAATGTGATGATAATGAAGAGGATGAGGAAGACGGCGACTTGATTAAAGGTTGTGGTGACTCTAATTCAGGACTGGTCTGTGATGATGATCCATAGGATTTACTATTACAGTTAACATGGCCCGAAATTGCTGTTAACCGTTCTTTAGCTGTAGACATGCTTGATACTGTTAAAGTAAAACCGATGTTAAAACATTTGAAGACTGGTTGATGAGGGGGATGATGATGAAGATGATAATGAATGAAAACAAGAATTGAAAGAAAAGAACCGAACAAAATAAAGGAAGAAGATAAAATGAAATACGAAAGAAACAAGAAATAGACAGAGAGTGAGAGACTGAAAGAAAAAGAGAGAGAGAGAGAGAAAATTCATTACATTTATTATTGTTTATTATTTATTATTTGGGTGTGCGCCGTGAGTAATTTATTGTTGGTTGTAAGGTCTATGAGCATGATTTTTATTATAATAACAAGCATATTTGCAATCTGTTAGTCAAATTTGTTTGATTCACAGAGACATTAGATTTAATTTTACATTTACAATTAATATTGCAACATTTTGTTTTTGTCATTTTGATGAACATTTCCAGTAAACATTGGTTTGATTGCTGTTCAATTGACTGAAATAGCAGACTTTTGTATCGATTTGTTATTTTCAATTTACTCCGAAAGCCCAGAGAAACAAAAAGAGACCATAAAGAGTAAAATTAAAAAGGGTTGAACGTAAAATGAAAATGGTGATAAATTGAAAGGAAAACGATTTAACTCGAAGGGTGATGAAAGGGAAAATTTTGTAATTGCATGACTTGAATTGAACAATGAAGTTGAGATGAAAATGGGAAAATGGCCTAGAAGAAGCAAATTTAAATCATTTCCTTAACCAATAAAAAAAACTTGAGTTTTGGATCATTTTTGATTTCAACTGGAAAGTTGTAAATATACAAAATTAACAACAATATCATCCCATTTAGTATCCATTTAGGTTGAATGGATAAAAAATATTCATCACAAGAAAATTACGATTTAATAATGGCATAGAATGACTTAATTTTCCCTGATGAAAAGAGGATCAACATTTTAATCTCTTAATTTGCTTCTTCTTTAATCTCTCTAAATGACGTCTAGATTGGTCTTTTGGTTTAGTTTTTTTTGAGAAATGATTAAAATGATAATTTGCTTTTAAGTATGTATTGATTACTGATGAGTTGAATAATAATGATACTGTTGAACTGCATCAGCATCTTCATAAACATCCATTGGATAAAGATCTTCTGCTTGTACTTGAATTGAACCCGATGTTGAGGCACAAGAGCTTTGACCGTCATCGGAATGATGATCACCAGTTCCATTATCACCAAAGCGACCCTTGAAAATTGGACTCCATGGGATAAAGAATGAGGTTGACAGGGTTGATCGTCTAGAACCAGATCGAAGGTAACCTGATGCACCAGACGTTCTTCCACCGTTTGTGGCTCCACCATTAAACAGAGAAATGGCCATTTTCTGGTTTTTAGGTAATGTACCATAATAGGAGCCAGAAAATGAAGAGTTATGAAGACCTAATTGGGACGAGGTTCTTCCAGAAGCTCCTGTTTTTGTTTTCATGGGCACTCTAAGGTATATTTTGAGCTTACGAACATAGAGGCACATTAAAATGACCAAAGCGGAAAGAAGATTGGCACAGACTATGGTTAAATTGCTGTGTGATTGAAATAAAGGTGAATAACTTGCTGCTAGAATCCAGGTTGACCAGATGAGAGCAATCAACAGACAAGTTGAAGCTATCCAACGAGGTTCACGATAATTTTCAACATTATTCCAGGTGAAAAGTGAAAAAATGAGTGTCATTAAAGTAAGTATAATAAGATAGACCAAAGAGATTAATGATTCGGTTCTTATTAGGTTACTGTTTGATGCTGGCCATGAACAGGTATTCAAGTCAAGATTGGGTTTCGGTGGGATAATGAATAACCAGATACCAGTGATTAATATTTGTAAGCTAAGTAATAATAGGGCAACCATAAGAACTCGCATTGGAGTGGAAAGACGCAGTTGTTTGGCAGATCCAGTGTCACCTAGAGTACTGTAACGACGTATATTGAGAACCTTGACCAGTAGAGAAGCCAAGATAATTGAATAACCAAAAGGCATTCCAAGACGACGGAGAACACAAACAGTGAATGATGAAGGAATGAGATATGCAAAATTTACACAGAATAACATGATAACTCCAACCAGGGTAAGATAACCAAGCATGGTTGTACCCGAAGTGGCTGGGAATAAAAGGCGGAAATAAAGAGCTCCCATGATTATAATGATTACTCCTAAGGCTGAGATAACGGCTAAAGTTAAATACCATCCTGCGGGTATATTAATTGCTTCAAATCGGGTATCCCAATTGGAGGTTGTCTCATCATAACCGGATGATCCTAAGCGATGAGCATGAGATGAATGATCCGATTCCCAAGCACATCGAGCATAACATTCTGAATCAATAGATGTGTAATTGACGGAATCACCTTTAAGAATTTCAAAACGTGTGAAAGATGTTGATCCGGATGAATCTAAGGTTGATGCTGGGGGTGAAGGTGATAAAAATGAAGAAGAAGAAGATGAGGTTGAAGATGATGAATTGTCTGATGGAACCAGGCGTGATTGACGTATTTTGATGCATCCTTGACAGCCAGATGATGGACATGGTGAGGGTCGGTAAATTACATGTGGATCAATAACTTGCCGTTTTCCAGTTGCCGAATCATAAGCAATCATATGTGAATAACGTATTTCAACAGGATAGTTGAAGTGTAACTTGGTAATGGCCAAATGTATCCAATCTCCAGTCATGGGCTCCTTTGATCGACCTAACCGAATCTCTCGCAATTCTCGAAACGTTTTATCTTCAACCCGTAAATCACCCAAATAAACAGTTTCAAATTCTTTACGAGACATTTGAGTTAAAGCTGGACACAGGCCGGGTTCACCTTTACATTTGTTGAACCATGCAGCTCGAAGCCCTTGAACCAAGATGAACAATGTATGGATCATTGGTGTGACTTGATAGGCACGCCAAAGCATTGCCAATGGTGATTCACTTTGATTAAAAGGCAAGGATTGTTTGTTTTTCACTTTCAACAAGTATTCATCAAGCCAAGTGTATTCATTAGAGATTCTCGAGTTTTTGATTAATTTCCAATAATTTTCAAAAGGTTCAATTGTTCCTGGATAAGGTGAAAGAGTGAAAAAATTGACGGATTTGTTGTGAAAAGGAAGCAACAGCTGAGGATCTGGTAAAGATGTGAATAAAAATTGGTGTCGAGATACAATTTCAAGATTGGCTGCCATAATGGTAAATAAGTGTTTAACTGAAGGTTCATTTGCAATGATCAAAATGGGTACATTTTCAGGAATTGATGAGACCATTGTTTTAATTATTCCTAAGTAGCTTAGAGATTCGTCTTTTGTTGATGAAGTGCGAGGGTCATCATGAGTTTCAAAGAGATTCGGATTGGGCAAACCAGAAACCATTGTAAGGCAAAAGTTATCTTTAAGAGAGGCTTGACCCAAGAGTTTCAATGTTTGAAGTGAATGTTCATCGATTGAATGAAGGATGGCAACTTGAGTCCATTTTAAATCACCAATGGCTTGAGTTAAAGTTTCCGCAATCATTTCAGGTGGAATGAAAAGGTTAAGGTTAAGTAGTACAATTGGTAAATGATAGTGACGAGTCAAAGCCATGATCCGGTGATCCTTGGAAACACCAACCATATCAATGAGCGATAGCGAGTTAAGATCAATCGGAGCATCGTCTAAACAATTATCTGATCCTCTCTCCAAAACTGGATAAATTTTGGTAACATAATTGGTTGCTAATTCCTCATGATTACAGGTATCATAAACTCTCATCCCTATTGTAAAAGAAACCAGAAAAGGGAAAAAAACAAAATTATTATAGAATCAAAGTCAATTTGCTATTTTCCCCAACAACTTACCCAATTTGATACCAGGAATAAGAGATGATTTAATAGGATATCCATTGAGATATCCATTGTCTTTATTAATCAATGATATTAACCATCTCATTGATTCAAAAATTATTATCGATTTCTCTTTGATCTGACCACATCCATAAATACCTTGGTCAGAGGATTCATGGACATCCAGCAAACTGGTTAGATAAATATCTGAATCATCTCCAATTATCTGGATTGGAGATGATCGAGTGTAGGGTTTACATTCCTTGATTGTAGTTGATACAGCAAGTTGACTAAAGCTAACTGTCCAAAGGACAAAGGTAATTAATAGGGTAACCCATGATTTCCACGAAATATCCATAAACTCTGAAAATAGAAAATAGAAAAAGAAGAAAATTAATATTTCTGACAAAATTAACTATTGATTAGGGGCATGATTAAGACATGATTAAAAGACGTGATTATGTTGGGATAAAGTAATACATAAAATTGGATTGATGGTCAAATTAAAGCTAATTATATATTGTAAACAAATAATGTTGAAATGAGATCAATTTGATTGTATCAAATTAATGATGTTAACAACTGGTACCATAAAATGAATCAGATCAATAAGATGAAATACAATATAAAACGGATATAATTTGACCTTTTTTGATTGCTCTTCTTTACAATCAAATTTAATCAGGTAAAAAAGCTTGCATCCAATATTAGGATATATTAATTTTACAAGGATTCATCTAAATCCAGTAAAGCAGCTAAACAAGTGATCAATCAAAATAAGGTTTCTTGATCATTCTAATGATACAATGTAATTGACCGAAACAACATCAAATCAAATGATTAATCATTAAGATTAATGAAACAATAATTTGATGGCAAAATAACAATTAAACCATTGAAACTCGTTTCAACTTCCAGACATCTTAATATTTACAAATCTTGCCATGAAATTCAGCGATTATGTTGACCAGAAACAAGATTTTCCTACTTTTTTGGTGAAAAGAAAAATTGAAAATTAAAAATTCAAGTAAATCATCTAATAATTGTTTAAGAAGGTAAAACAATTAAAATTTTAAAATAAAATGTGAACCGTTATGAGCATGCAATGTGTGTGAAAGATTGAAAAATATTACAATCAATTAAAGCTCAATTATATGGTTATGAAGGTGCAAAAAAAGGTGAATTAGCAAAGCAAAACATAGTCAGTAATCAACTTTCAACAATCAACTGATCACGATGTTGACGATCTGGTCAACCAGGTTAACCAGCTTTTTTATCAACTCACATTTAAAATCTCATTTCCGAGTCTCAACATTAAATATTCAAAATTGTTTAACATTCAAATGTTACAACATGATCATGATAAATCATGATTAAAAACCTGGCAAACCTAAACAATACAAAACGTTTGTATATCAACAACAATAGTTGTTACCCTGTAATCAAAAAAAACCTCTATGATGTTGATATAATTCATCTTGAAACTGGTTAACCTGATTGGATTTCATTTTTTTGGGTTTCCTTCTCAATCGATACTTTGAATTGTTGAATATTCAAACTGTTTCTTTAATCAGTTGAAAGCCAGTTGAGTTAATTGATTGACTAAGGCAGGAGAGTAAATATTAAAATGAATATTCAGGCTGGTGTTCATATTTAAAACAATTACTGGCGATACAATTTGACACTCTCTTATTAACTGTCAACAATTAACTTTCAACCCAAATGAATGGAAAATTAAATTTTTTGGAAATTGCAAGAAGAGAGAAAAAATAAACAGCAAAATGTTGATAATAATAAGTTGGTGAAGCAATTAATAACAGTTGAACCGTAATATTGATTGAAGTGAAACTGATGTTGAAGATAAAAAATCATGAAAAAGCAAGTTAAATGATATAAATTATCAATTTTCACAGTGATAATCAAGTTGAAGTAAATCAATGAAATGATAATTTCATTTCACAGAAAATATCTTGTAATGGTCAACATTTTAATTAGCTAATTATAGTCAAATAAAGCAACAATAATTGCAAGACATTAAGGTTAAAGGGTAAAGGAAAAAGGTAAACCATAAATAAAGGTTTAGAAGGCAGCAAAAAAAGTGAATCAATTTGTTACCATTAAAGGGTCAGATTAAGGTTGATTAAAAGGTAGCAAAAGCAGATGAAAATGCTTTGAAAGATAATCTCTACAACAATCATGTTCATCATATCATGGCTAGGTCATCATGAAACAGTTGATGATCTTGAAAAAAACAACAGCTCAACATCGACAATTGGAAAAAGAGGAAAAAAATATTCCTTAAAATGATGAAGACAGGTTACAGGTAAAAGTAGGAAAAATAATTATTTCAACTTGTCAAGCAAACTTGGATAACTGTATTTTGACAATGACAATTTGCTTCCGTTGAGCGTTTTTTTTTGCACCATTATCTCAATATCGGTATCAGGCTAGTCAAGAGTGACAGTGAAGTTGTGCTAAAATGATGACAATCTTATTTTTTTGTCGCCAAGTCAACTAATCAATAGCTTTTTTTAGGGTTAAAGTTGACTGTTGCCTTGAGTCTTATTTTACAAGAGATACTCACGAAGCTGGTAAGGTTACCAGTTTTTTTGTGCACAACCAGACACTCTATCTGCATCACTTGTGATAAACATAATTATGATCATCATCCATGTTTTGTTTGTAATATACATATAAGTCAATGAGCCGATCAAGGTGAACATTAAACAGTCTTTACCTTTTAAACCTGTAAACGTTATAACAACAATAATTTACGCATCAGATGATTAGTTTGTTATGCAAAATTTTGAAACAATTTTGGTGCAACAATCTGTTGATTGAAATGTTTCTGTTGACAAATTGAATGCTATTTTTGCAGCCATCGATGGTCTGGTTTTAGGATTACAGTTTAAGGTTAAATTGAGGTTTAACGATCAAATGTAATTTGTTAAATTGGTTTTTACGATTAAATTTTGAGGACAACTTTGAAGGCTGATTAAGGTGTGTGTGTGTGTTTAACTTGGATTTGTTACAATCTTTGCTAACCATTGAATATATTGAATAATTTGAGGGAAGAAGAAGAAAAAAATAAAAGTAATTTTGGTTGATGATAAAGGTAATGGTTTTGATACATTAATGATGGTGATAACAATAGGAACAGATTGACATGAAATTTGAAATTGTTCAATCAACAAGGTGAGGCTTTACTCAATTGTTGAATCATTTTCATCGTTTCTTTTTCGTGATCATTCACCATTGTGTTCATGAGAATGATGAACACAATGAAATGAAAAGTGAAGATGAAGCAAAAAGAAGGAGAACATTTTTGATGTATAAATAACAAATGGAAATGTTTTTCGAGTCATCATCATGTTTGCCTTTTTTTCCATCATGAAACAGAGTAAATACAGGGAAAAATATGAAATGTAAAAATGGTGAAAAAGAATTGAAAAAGAATGGAAAAAGAAGCAAAAAATTGAAGCTTTGGATGTGAAAAGCTAAGTGAAAAGATGAGTGAAAATGTTTCAAAACATGTTGTGTGAACAAAAAAGATGAATAAAAGTGTAAAATCTCATACTGAAAGACAATAGACAATCATAATTATGATGATGATGGTGATGATAGTTTTCATGGTTTTCATGGTTAACTTGATGAAATGATCTTTAAAATATCTATCATTTGTATTGTTACAACAATCAACATAAAGGTTTCCAATGTGAACCAAATACACAAATGATTATCTTACAAATCAAAGTAAATCATTTCCTTAATTTTTCATCATTAACTGTTGCTTTCAACATTTTCAGTTTACTTTTTTCTCCATTCAAAGATTTTCTCAACAGATTTTCAAAGATTTTCAACTTATCCTGAATAGTTTGATATATTTTCCCAAATGGCAAAAATTTACAGAAATAAATCGGTTAATCTAGTAACAATCAAGTTGATTGTTAACAGTTGAAATACTAAATTTAAAGATTCTCAGCTTTTTATCCTGAAACATCTTTTTTTGTTTGTAAAGTGAACATTTTCAAAATTGAAATGATAACTCTTCAAGTGACGATGAAAGGATTCAATTGATGATTAAAATTGAATATCAATAAAACAATTTAACTATCATTTTGGGTAAACATTTCTTTCAATTGTTGTTAAATGATTAGTTTAAATAAGTCTCTAATAATTACTTTAAATAGCTTGAATATGCCTGTAAATTGTGTCCATCATTTGGGTCTTTAATAATGATGGTAATAATGATGATGATTATGATGATTACAATGAAGGCTGAAAAATTGCAAGTTAACAGTCAATAATGGTGATGGATATAAATGTTATTGTTAGCAATCAGAGTGATGATTGTTGTTTGGTAAATAAATGTGCTTCAGTTTATAATAGGTAAATGAAAGGGCAAAAATGACATTTTGATGAGTTGATATAAAAATGAATGTTAATATATTAACTGGTCAACCATTGAGCACACAATTGAAAAGTAAATACAAAAATTAAATTGTTATGTTAATGTTAAACTGATTGGGTAAACAGAAAGGCTTAATTGAACAGTAAATTCAATTTAAAATTGATATTGACCTGAAAGTCGTGCAAACAAGACAAAATGAATCTTAAAATGAATCTTAAGATGAACCTAAAGATGAATTTAAAGATGAGTCCAGCGATTAATCAAAAGATGGTAAACCTTTTGAAATGTAAATTTAAGATTTTTTGGGTAAATTATTTAAAGCTTGGACAGTTGATATTGACCTGAAAGTCGTAATGAAATCTTGAAAGAAAATGTTGAGATTCAAGTTTCACCGGCGTTCAATTGTAGTCAATGGATGATTTTTCAAAAACAAAACTATTATGAGAGTTAAAGGCCTTGAATAGCATTTTTTGTTTTGTTTTGTTTTTCTCGTTGGTTCGGGTAAAGGGGTTTAGTGACCTGATGATAACCGGCTTGACTACCAAAAATTTTCAAGGTGGGTCTGAGTGAGGGAAAGATAGATAAATGTTAAATCAAGTGGAGATTGAATCGGAAAGATTGGCTGGATTGATCACAATCATTTGTTTCTCCTGTTGTTTGCTTGGGTGAGGCTACTGAAACAATTTATTAAAATGCATTTCAATTGTTGTAATTTGTAGAGTTTCATTCAAATGTTTAATCGTTTCAAATGTAATCAACGTTAATCTGACTTTTGTTTCATTGCAATTGGATTAGTCTTTGAAACATTGCTTTACTTCAAAAAGGATATAAAAGGTTGATAATCAAAAGAATGGTTAAAATGTATTTGATTGATTATCACGATTAACTTCTTGATAACCTGAGGGTAACTCAGGATATTTGCATGTTAAATAACAATTGTTTCAATTTGCTCAACTGTCTATATTTGTTAACAATTTTGTCCAAAATTTAATTTCCAACTCTTGACTTGAAATTGAAAAATGTTTATGAGCAATTTGGGTTTAACTAATGATGTAAAGCTATGTAATTGTTTGACGGGCTGGGAACAATTAATGTTAGTGTTGAGTGTTGACAAGTCAATGTTAGGCCTTAACCATAGGACTGACCACAATTAAGGGTTTGTCTGGGAAAGTTGAGTTTGTCAAGAAAAAGGTTTCATTTGATTAGGCCAGTTGTAAAGATAATTATTATTAATTAACTTTCACGAGGGAAGAAGTAATTCAAGTCTAGAATGGTTATTAAAATGAACAAATGCAAGGATTCAATTTTGATTCATTGGTAATGAACTTAAAAGGAGATGGCAAGGTTGATGTGTAGTTATGGACATGGCAAGGTTTGATGTACAGGTATTGTCACATAAAAGGTAAAAACAATGAGCTAATGGTTGTGGAGGCGATATTGTTTTTTGCGCTTCTTTTGCGTTTCTTGTCATAAGTAGCTTTATGACAAGGATGGTGAGAGGATGAAGAAGGTAACCAGAAAAAAAAGATTTGAGTGAAAGTTGTCATGTTGATGTCAACCTGATGGATGGACCAAGGCACATCAACCTTTTAAGCTTGTCCTGCAATTGAATGAGGGACAGTTGGAAAGATATTTTCATCAATTTTCTTTGTCTTCATTTTCATCTTTTCATTCTCACCAAATCCTTTCAACAAATTTCAAGGATAATCTGTCTTTTTTGTTGTTTCTCAGTTTCAAGTACGTTATTTATATCATGATTAGATGTAAACAGTAAATCAAAAGATAGCCATTTGAAAAGTGTAATATCTTTTTTTGGTTGCGTTTTGTTGCTTCTTGTATTATACTTCAATTGAAATATAATACAACAAAAAGAGTGATGATACGAGATTGAGTAAGCAGCAAAAAAAGGTTCAACAATGAATTGAACGGACAAACAAAAAGGTAAACTAGGTTATCTTCATCGATTTCAACTGATACTGAATCTTGAAATGAAGATATTTCTGAAGGAGAATCAAGAAAAAGCTTAATTCATTGATGGCTAAATTGTACACAAAGTGCACACAAGATTCATCTTGTCGTCTTTCAGTTTTGCGCTGAAAAAATTGAAACTCAAGTCTGTTCCATTTTTCCTTAACGTTAATTATCAGTCTCAATTTAATAAAGTGACAAACTTTCATTAACTAATTTACTTTGATCAGTAATGAAGAGAGTAAAGGGGAAGAAGAAGAAAAAATCAGATTAAACTTCTATTAAACATGAACTTTGAAAATAAGTCAATATTGAAGTTTAACTTGTTTTTCAATTGAAATTATTAATAAATATTGTAAATGTGCAATTGATTGGTTATCAAAATGAACTAAATAAACTGATTAATTTGCATAAAGGATAGCAATAAAAAAACAAAAGCTACTCTGAAAATTGAAAGGTCATCTTGGTAAAGGATCAATTCATGAAAACATTAAATGCTCAACTGATAATGAAGATTTTTTTGACAAGCAAAACCTTGTCAATTGACTTGATCAACATTGAATTGTTGAAAAGTCAAAATAAGGACAATATAAGTTTAATCAAGTTTTTGCCTTGCAATTGAAATGGCTAGTTTGGTATGGTAATTGGTTGGTTGTGTGTTTAGTCTGTACATATTTATAAATATACAACAAAAAAAACAAATGAAAGCTATCAGCTGAAAACAAAGTAACTGTCCATCGCATTTTGGACAGTTTGGCTTCTACTTTTTGTCTAACTGGACTACCTTGTCTCAACCAGACAATCAATACAAATCTTTTTTTAGGACAACCTTGCCCACTTCCCGGATGAAGTTTTTGGCTGGAAAGTAAGCAAGCAAAGCAAGTGAAAAACGTCAAAAATGTGAGATCAAGTCTGTTTTTAAGGAGATTTAGATAACCCAGTGAATTGTAATAAACAAATGATATTATTACCAAAGAGACTGGTGATGTCGATGATGGAGTCATACACAAAATCCTTTTTTGATAAATATCCAGTTAAAATGAGATGAGAGATGAACACAGGTTGACACAGAGAAACATGCCATCCAAATGAAACCAGTGAATTTGGTAAATCAAAATTGGTATTTCCTTGATTTGGTTACAGAGTTACACACGCACAGCTTTATGACATGGTTAGGAAAGGTAAGAAGGCAAGAAAAATAAAAGAGAACAAGAAACAAAAACAAAAAACAAAATACTGTAAATAGCTAAGGTGATGTTGAAAAGGATGATGGTAATGGTGATGATGCTTGATGCTTGATGGTGGTGGTGGTGAAGTTGATGGTGAGGTTGATGGCGATGTTGATGGTTTGTGAAACTTAAATCAATTGACTACATCAGGTAGGAAAGTTGTTTAGCAAGTAATCTCAAGAAGAAGGAGAGAAACTAGTTGGACTCTCTCAACGTTCCCCTTTTTTTTCCAATCTTTTACCTTGTCTTTTTTTCTCTGCTTGCTTCAATTGTATAGTTAACCATGGAATCTAAACTTTACTTCCGTTCATTAAACATATTCCATGTAGAGCATAGACCATCTAATATTTGTCCTTTTCCTCTTGCTTTTCACTTGTGTGTCGACTCTTGCATCCAGATGAAATGTGTGCAGCTTCTTCTAGACACTGAAATATAGAAACAGAAAAGAAACAGAAAAGATATTAATAAATATTAAAAATATTGATGAGTAGTTTTTATATATTTCGGGTAACTTACAGTTCTTTTCCAGTCAAGATTAAGGTTTCTTGAAATAAAGTAAACTGGTTTGGTAAATCTCCTCCAGCTTGCTGTAGTTGCTGAATATAACAACCTCGGAAATTGAGTTTGTCCTAAAATGTTTCACTTAAAACGTCAACTGGTATGTTAATCATTTACCGCTTTCATTAAACTTCTCACAAATTATCGGAAATATCAGGTTAGATATGGGTAATAACCAATAATAATAGGAAAAACAAATCAAAAGGTTGGTAACTTGCTAACCATTGAAACGTTACTTGTAACACTAGGGTTAGTTGACGCTTATTGGCTTCTCTAGAGCTTTAATCTGGAAAAAGAGACGAAATGATTAGACAATGTTGCATATTTTAGTTTGTAATTATCAATCAGTAATGAATATTAAATTGGTTGGGTTGAATCAATTATGAAAATAGCATTTGTCTCTGGTTTACATCGTTATGGTATAAAAAATGTACCGTAAAAGCATCAGCTGTGAAGCTCAACCTAGCGTCACTTTCAAAACAAGACGGAACAGGTTTCTTCTCGGTTATATTTACAAATGTCTGTAATGTTAGATAATTTTACTTACCTGTGTGTTCAATTCCATGTCAGGTTCCACTTCGATTCACACCTTAAACGATTAACTGTGAATTAAAAATGATTCCTGTGACCATCAAAAGCGCAACAAGTTTTCCTTACATAAACATTGCCTTTCCATTTCTTTGATGCCTTCAATATAAAGACTTTTATTTTTTGCTCTTTCAATTTTCAGATTATTCATTCAAATTAATCAATTCAATGAAAGCAGTTTATTTCCTAGTTGAAATAGCCTCAAGATTAAACTCAATGTCTTGTTATAGTCTTGATTAATCTCAAGTTTTGCATGAAATGTTGAAAAAAAATCATGTTTACAGTTTGAAACAAATTTTTTAGTCTATTTTTAGTTTAATGTTTCAATTACATCAACATTTCATACCAGAATTGCTCTGAGCAAAATCTTTCTGCCAGCAAATTGTTTAGACAAAAACAGTTTATAATTAATTGTTGACCCTTAGTTTTTAAGTTAACTACAATAATTTGTTTGACTTGATTGAGAGATTTTCAATTTTTTGTAGAATTGAGATTTCATTCAACTTATGATTGAATTTTCAACCTTAACCATGACCAATTGATTCAAACTCAATTTCAACAATTCACTTTACATCTAAATGGTGTTTATCATAATCAAAGATTGAACTAAAAGCTTTTTATCAAGTTACATTTAATTTTCACTTACTTTTTATTGGTGATCGAAGTGAAACTCAACTGAAACGCCTTAAAACTTCAGCCTGAAAGTTTTAAATGTTGACAGAAATTTTTCGCAGTTAATCCTCCATCTGTTGAATCAATATTGCACTAAGCAAGGAAAAATTGTTTTATCTACCGAAAGATAGCACTACACACTACTGAAATAAATTGCAGCAACAAACTCTTCAAGACTCGGTGGCGCCTTCGAGTTACTAAACAAATGAATGAAAACTCATTGATTATTAATAAATTATTAATTCAATAAGCTTTGAATTTGATGATTCTGAATGAAAATTGGTGAACGTGACTATTGCTTGGTTCGGATTTTTGCTTCCCTCAATGGCAAAACTGATGAATACGACAATGAAAGGCAAAGATGATTTCCATCTGTTTGTGCAATCGTTGATTCCAAATAATCGGGAAATTTTTATATCGTATAGATGATCTCATGATTTGTGCTGGCATATCTATGCTTGTGTTTTGTTTCAAACATGGTGATTCAGATAGACACACATTCCTTCAATTTGTGTATCTTACTCTATGGTACTGATTTCCAATGCCATTCACATGCCATCTGATTGGATTAACTGTGTACTCAATTTTATTACCTCCAATTGTATAACAAGATGATATTATCGCGAAAGTACTGAGTTTTATAATGCTGTTAACTGCTTACTCAATATTATCTACCAATCTGGATCTTAAGCTAACTTGGAATTATTATGTATTGCAATTAATGGTTTGAAAATGCACACAAATCTAATATTTAGATGACAAAGAACTTGAACGTCAGAAAAAAGGTAAAATTATATTATAATATTCTTAACTGTTGCACAAAATTGACTAACAGGTTTACTTTATTTACTTATTTCATTCATTAATAGCAAGCCAAACTGGGTATCATCTAATTGGGTTAACCAAAGAAACCAGAAATGCAAGAAGTTCCTATTTACATTGGATAATTAGATCGACATCATCAACACCAGGATCCATCAAGACAGGAGAAGACGGCATTTAAAAACGGAAATAATGGTTATAATATAAATGAGGTTTAAACAGTTGAATAATTTGCTTACGGACAAGCTGAACAATCAAGACAGTGAATAACGAGATAACCAGACAAACTGACAATCTAAAGCATTAGTGAGCAACCAGTTTACCTATCAAAGACACACAAAGAGTACAATCGGAAGCAATGCTATTTAATTTCCGTTGGTTCAGTTGGAAAATATTGATGATTAAACCTTCTTTACGTAATAGTCGGTTGAATAAATGTGGCAAAGACGAGTAATGACATGATAATTGGTGGAAACATCATCCCAATGAAGCTACCAATCCATTGCTCAATGGTTAATTTGCATTGCCTCCATTGAACTTCATTAAGATTTGTGATTTTACTCACAATCATATGAAATCTCTCCGGATGCATGAAAATAATTAAACCATAGCAACATATATTAATCTCAATTCAATTGTAATTTTTGTCGATGTTGCACTCACGTGAACGTTATAGTGGTTATAAATCAGATAACTTGAAGATGTTTGATTATACTTTTGACGTTCACCTGATCATTTTATTGGTGATCAATGATGATCACTCACTTGAAACTTAACTATCACTAATCAGCTAGCATGGACTTATTTTTAGTCTAACCATGTAAGTGTCATTCAATGAATCTTTGAATGTGATATGTTTATAATTCATCCTATTTATCTGTCCATTGTTACCATTTTTTTTTGATTAGTTAATCAACATTCAATCAATCACACATAGTAACATTATTACAACACGAGATACACTTGAAAAGAATGTAAATGTCAACAGAAACATTAAATCATGACAAACGTTAATTCCGTTTCTAGTTAACATTGTGTCCCACTGATTTTCCCTGTTTCAATACTTCTGAATAATGTAAGGACATTAATCTTAAATGAACATTTTCCCTGTTTATTGCGACAATAATTAAGATTTCCTATCATTTTATTATCCAAGTTATTCAATCTTACGTTTTGAATGGAGTAAAAAAATTTAACATTGAAGTACATTAAAGAAAGTTGACAATTGGTGAAACAATCAAAAAAGTCAACATTAAAGAAATAGTAAATTGATAACAGTGAAGGTTATATTATTGTTGAAATTAAGGTAAATCATTACAATTACACTAATTAAGCTCTTTTTCAATATCACCTGGTACTGATGTTACCCATTGCTATCAGATATAAACAATACTTACAAAAAATCATCTGTACTTGATTTTATCACAAATCAACTTGATCCGGATGATTATTGACTATTTAAGGTTATATTTACAATGAATGGATAAAAATGAAAACATTAATTCAATGATAAATGTAAATTGAGAAGAAACAATTTAACGTAAGAATAATTTAACCTGTAAAAAAAGTGAAAGCAAAAGGCAAAACCGAGAAGGCAGCCAAGAAACAAAACCTAAAGTAATAACTGAATGTACATTTTTAAACATGGCTCTCTAATGGCAATTAACTGATTGTTGGTTATATGATAGCTAATTTGATAATTATTAATGTGATAATTGACCAGAATTACAAGAAAAGGTACAAAATAAACGTTGATTACAGCGTTTGAAATGTTTTCAGCATTACATTCAAGGTTGTTCAAGAACCTCTTTATATACATTTAATACTTTCAGTTATTTGTTGGCTGCAGTCCAGTCAGTTTCCTAACAATTATTAACCACATTATTATTACAAGGGTTAATATGAGCTATAATAATCTAGTCATATGATTGTTAAATTGTATATATTTAAAAGAAATGGTTGAACCAGAATTCTAGGCCAAATAGTTGATACAAATACAATATGTTGTCCAAATGAATGCAACCTGATTTGAAGAGATACTTGGTAGGAAGTTTACACCCGAATGAACCATCATTTACTGTTGGTGAACACTGAATAGATTGATTAATTACTCTGTATGTAAATGTGTTGGTGTGTGGTTGAGCCTCTGGTTAGGTATTAATTTCAATGGGAATAAAAGCATCAAGTGGTTCAAGTGTGTGAGTATCAATCGTCTTGAGTCTTGATACATGTCTTACATGCGTTAATGTTAACAAACCAAATGCCTTGCAGGTTATATATCATTAAGATGGAGACGGTAAGTCCAGCATCAATTTAATTAAACCTCGTGATGTGATAAAACCAAAGTTGCTAACCTTAAGTCTAGTTAAGCACTCACATATCATCATCATCATCATCATAATCAACTAACATCTCACAATTATTTACACGCCTTCAACGCTCCTTCAATCGCATTTTTTTTGCTGTAACGTTAAAGTTACATGTAACTTGATGGTTTTGCTTTTCAGCATCATCATTATTCCTATCTTTTGATGTATTATCTTCAAGCTTTACATTAACTTTTAATTATAATACATCTTCTTCTGTCTTCATTTCTTTTTTTCCTCAATGAACCAGTTTCACATCTCTCTCTCTATCCCATTAATATTATTAATATATTGATCAGGTATGGTGATGATGATGGCGATAATGATGATGAGAGGAAGAAATAGAAATTATTCATCAAAATTGGTGAATAATATCAAGGTTGTTGTTTGGGCTGATCCATTCCAATTGTCTTCCTATTAGAGATTCACCTTGATTTGGCAGCTTCTTCATTTAATCTGGTTCTTTGCTCCTTCTATTGATTTTGCAGTTGACTTTTTCCTGTCTTAATGTTATGATTTTGGCTCTTGTTGTTGTTGAATTGATTAAGTATAAATACGGTAAAAAATATGATTAAGGTCATGTTGATGACGAATAAACATCTTGTTGTGTGTAATACGTACGATGAGTATGATAATGGCCTTTCACCAGCCTATCAGCCTTTAACCTGGACAATGACCCACGCCTTACATCAATTGTATCTTCATTGGTACACATGTACACAAGCTTATCACTATGTTTGGTATAATGGGAAAAAATAGATGGAACCAGATAATGTTATCCATGAGACAGCAAACTTGATTTCCTTTTGTTCTTCTCATTCACATATTTTTCCTTTGTTTATATTTATGATGTGACCATCAAATAATAGACATTAATTTATTTAAATGAAAAATGGTTTCATTGTTAATGTCAATTTTCAAAACCAGAGAATCGATTAAATTGAAAAATATACTTGAAACATTCTCGTGGTTTGCTGGTTTATTGTTGCTGTTGAAGTAACATTATTGAAAGGGCAAACCAAATGGTAAATTGTTGATTAAGGGGAAAAAAATTGCAACAAATTTACTTGGAGCGGAGGAAATTCCAGTCATAAAGAGTTAGTTATATGTAAAATAATTGCAATTAATATAAAGCGTCACAATTAAACGTCAAAAAAAAGCTTTTTAAGGAGGCAAAATTATGAAAATAATTTTAATTTCGATAGATGGGTCTGTTTGCAATTTGAAATGCGCACAAAAATTCAAAAGGCAAGACAAATTGAGAAAGGGAAAAGTTAATATTTAATCTTATCTTTCTTTCGTTTCTTTTTGCCTTTCGTCTCTTTTTTCGACACATTTTACTCTTTCTGTTTGAATAAAATCTCTTTCACCTTTCCTTTAAACAGCCAAAGTCAACCAGCTCAGGAATGTGCTCTACTTTAAAATTTGTTTTAATGTCAAGTGATGCGAGAAAACCTACACGTGCCACTAATGGAAGCGCGGGTTTTGACATCTATAGTTCACAAAACAAGACTATTCCAGCCTCAGGACTGTCACTGTTGGATACACAGCTACAAATAAAACTGCCTCCAAACACCTATGGACGAATTGCCTCGAGATCTGGTCTGACTATGAAACACTCTCTTCATGTCGGAGCAGGGGTTATCGATGAAGATTATCGTGGTGAAATCAAAGTTTTAATGTTCAATCATGGAGATAAACCATATGAAGTCAAGAAAGGTGACAGGATAGCCCAACTCATCATCCAACAAATATTATATCCAACACTTCAAGAAGTGACAACCCCTGATGATCTATTTACCACAAATGAACAAAAAAGTGCATGTAGAAGATACTCCTTCTAGAACCATTACACAAAATACCTTTTGTCTTAAAAATATGAATACGCTTTGTATTATGCTACAATTTGATTACAAAAATCAATTAAAGTTTGAAGTAAACCTAAAACTCCTTTTAATATACCTCTGACTCGAGCATACCTTTTTTTTTTTTTATTAATTAAGAGGTAAAACCAATATATAAACCACAAAAAAATATCTAAAGTTTATAACCTCCAAAATGTTCACTCAGACGCGTCAGGAAAAATCACTAAAACTAACTCTTTATGACTGGAACTTCCTCCGCTCCAAGTGAATTTGTTGCAATTTTTTCTCCTTAATCAACAAATTACCCTCTGGTTTGCCCTTTCAATAATGTTAGTTCAACAGCAACAATAAACCAGCAACCACGAGAATGTTTCAAGTATATTTTTCAATTTGATCGATTCTCAGGTTTTTGAAAATTGACATTAACAAAGCAAAATATGTGAATGAGCAGAACAAAAGGAAATCAAGTTTGCTGTCTCATGGATAACATTATCTGGTTTCATTAATGGGAAAAATAGATGGAACCAGTGAACAATTGATGTAAGGCGTGGGTCATTGTCCAGGTTAAAGGCTGATAGGCTGGTGAAAGGCCATTATCATACTCATCGTATCACACACAACAAGATTTTTTATTCGTCATCAACATGACCTTAATCATATTCTTTACCGTATTTATACTTAATCAATTCAACAACAACAAGAACCAAAATCTTAACAATAAGACAGGAAAAAGTCAACTGCAAAATCAATAGAAGAAGCAAAGAACTAGATTAAATGAAGAAGCTGCCAAATCAAGGTGAATCTCCAATAGGAAAACAATTGGAATAGATCAGTCCAAACATATTTTGTATACAGGCATACCATTTCCTCATCATATATGAAGGAAGTCAGTCGCTACTCAATACAAAAAGCCATTATGATGCTAATTTCATAGATTTGGCTATCATTTCCTTTCTTATACTTTACATCAACAGCAAAACTAATCAAACAATTTGAAAACAAAAACCCTTCGATATGATCAAATATCTGCAATTTAAACTCATTATAATAATTCGATGTATAAATACAAACAACACAAAACTATGTTATTAAAAACAAAAGAAAACAATCAAATGTAATCAAATAAACAACTTCTTACCTACCTCAAATCATAACAATTAAGCGGAAGACTAATTACCACTAGATACATTAGGACTTAGCAGGCTAGAATACAAATATCCAATTACTATTAATTTTATAACAAATTTCTTTCATTCAGTTTATGATCAATATTTCTAAGAAATACAATAATTAAAATCTCTCGAATTACAACAGTTTTTAGCCAAAACAAACATGCAGTTAATTAACAAGAAACTTGCCACTTTATAATTAACTGTCTCGAATTACTCGAAACACGAATATAAATATCTGCCAAACCAGGATCTTCTAACACTTGATAATACAAACTTGTTCACAACAGTTCATCTGATCTGACATAATAAACCTTCAATCTAATAGTTATCATATACAATTACCTCAACAAACATAAAACATTGTAAGTAAACAAAACTTTTCTTAACTAATAGATAATCCATAAGGGGAAATCTCTATTAACAAGAAATAAACTTTTCCTTTTTTTCTTTTCTTTTCTCCAGAACAATGGACCAGGTAGAAATAAGTGATCTACTAAAGATGCTACATACCATATACATTGGGAATCCTACATCTGAACCAGAACTTCATGATCGCCTAGCCACCTTCATGCCTATTGATCTATCGACTCTCAGAAACCTATTGGACAAGGCCATACAAATTGTATCAAGCCCGTCTCAACAAATGTTTGCACAGGATCTGTCTGACCAGATCAAAACTATACATCGCATGATGCTTGAAAATGAAAGAGAGGTGAATCCTGAACAATTCAATTATCTCCAACAGATCAACTTGTCGTATCAAGACAATGTCAATGATGATCCTCAACCATCAACCTCACGCCAATTGGTTCCACAAGCTGCCTCTAAACCCCAAAACACATCTGACATGGACAAAGCTACCCCACCCAATGACAACAATATGGAGCAAACTTCATCAGACAATGCTTCAAGAAAACGTAAGCAAGCTTATAATAATCCATATGATATTACAAAACCCAAAAACATTAGATACAACACAACAGCGATAAATACTAACATCTATCCATGGAACCCTTCAGGAGTTAGAGGTTTTTCAGTTAACATTAAAGGCCCACACTTTCAAAAAGGCATAGTAACCCAATTTGTCAAAGACCTAACAGATGACATAGGTAAAATCATAGGAATCTATGAATACGAACACTCAGCTACAATCATAGTTGATAGAGAAGATAATCAAAGAAAATTATGTGAGATCTTTGATAAATCTCAGTTAGGTCTGGAAGCGACACCAGCAACTTATAGATTTCCAATCATTAAATTCTGGATGGATCGCAAACAAACAAATAATAAATGGCATGAAGTCATTGAAGAAATAAAAGCCTTTAATCTGAAAAAACACTCACAGAAACTCTTTGAGTTTTTTAAAATCTTCGGGTCTCCATTCGCTCAATATGTTTTAGTAGCAGTAAGAGTAGATCCAATGATCAGGGATTTTATTATCAATACATTGCATGGACAGTTCTGGTTTAGAGGAAGAAATCTGGATGTAATTGACCACTTCTCTCTACGAAGATGCTATAACTGCGGCTCCTGCAGACACTGGATATGCAGTGAAAAACAAGAAAAATGCCTCCGATGTTCAGGGCCACACAACTTCAGGTCATGCAAAGCGACTACACCATGCTGTCCCAGTTGTAAAGGCCAACATGAGGCCTTCCATATCACTTGTCCCAACTTACAAGAAGCTATCAACCGACAAATTGAAATGGTCGACTATACCTACAAAAACATTATGTGGTTAAGAGGCTTTTAAACTTGCAGGAAAAAAATCTTAAAAACAAAGCTTAACAAAACATATAGCCACTAACATAATAAACAATTGTTCAGCTTCATAACTAAAATTGTACTCTTTATATCCTTTAGATGATATCAATAAACAGCATTTAACCATTGAACAAATTCAAAAATTCATTATTGTTTACACAACTCAAGTACGATATCAACCAAGGATGATAACTTTACTTCGCGATCTCATTGATAAACTTGATAAACTACTCTCAAACACCCTAACAGATGACTCGATATATCTGAAAAACATTAATATATTCATTAAATCCAGAGACTTCTTACCAAACATTCCGTATATACTACCATACATCATGGAACAATCAAAAGGAGGAAAAGACAACTGCTATCAGCTCATGCTAAGAGACAATATACCAAGAGACATACTGTACCAACTGCTATTAGAAGATTCTTATAACTTTAGGATGGGGATACTTCACTGGCATCATCTTTCTAGCCAAACGACAATAAACGAGACAGATACGGCTTCAATCTCGACTACAAACAGATTTGAAATATACCAAGAAGTATGGATCAAGCAAAAAACTATGAACGATACGTACAAAATATATGTTTTTATTAAAAATGAAGAACGATATAAACAATGGAAGAAATTTCAATTCGTAGTAATGATAGGAACAAATAACATCAAATTTATTCCTCATGCAAGATATCGCCAGTGCACACAATGTAAAACCATCTATTCCGGTGGTCATAACTTATCATCCTGTAAAAATAATATGTAAGATTTTAATATAAGATGAAATCACAACACCTGCAAGTATTGGATAACTCATAAGGGAGCTTCTCCAATAAAACAGATCACTAATGACTTACCTTCTAATAAAAACGAGGATCCTCAGGGATCACAATCCACTCATAATTTAATCTTATTTCTTTAACCAATTTACGAACACGAAACTGAAGAGTTGGACAACTAGTAGAGTAAGTATGATGACCAATAGACAACATACCATCACAGGAGGCACAATTTCTTTGACCCAACCAATTACGGAATGGACATTCTCGAGGATGACTCTCGGCACAGACTTCACATCTCTTAACATTAACACATGAACTAGCCAAATGCTTAAATGAATGACAATTAACACATCTTTTTAGACCTAAATCGTCATATACTGGTGTACTTAAATCCTTATATGATATATAACCTCCGGCTTTTAAGATTGAATCTCTATTGACAGCACTTATACCTAAGGTTACCCGACTATAGACATCGCTAACATCACTTATATCCAAGATACGAGTTTGATCATCCATGATTAAATTGTTTGTGACAATTAGATTATCGGACAACAGAGTATAATTTGATGAATATAATGGAAGCTTATAAAAGAAATACATTTTAGGGTTACACAAAATCTTCATGTTAAACTTCCAATCAGGCAAGTACATCTTACACCCTTGTTTTACCTCACGAAAATATCTTTCATGAGATAGACCAATGATACCACAATGTGTCTTGTCACGAATGTACAACACCTTCCTCTCATGATCCTCTATATTGGCCACTGCACTGCTTAATAAATCAAGAGTATTTACTCCAACACTGTGA